TCTACATGCAAACCTTTAGGAACCTAAGTGAGAGACACTTTGTTTGAGTTGGGGAATGATGGACACAATCATCGTGTTCATCAATGCAACTGTGATGCAGAGCAAAAAGTGACGTAATTCAGTCATTTGAATATGTGTATTAATACTAATGCCATACTTCTTTCTGCGATGGTATGTAAAAATCCAAAACAATGGCCCAAAATGACTCACATGTTTGGAGGACAGATGTGATTTTCAGATTACCTAGCCATAAAAAGTGAGGCTATATTTTAACTTAACCACATCCAATTGCTAAAACATTCTTTTGTTTCTCTGACAATGCTAGCCCAAATTACACTTTAGAATACATTGATCACTACGAATATATCACTGGTTTAGATCATCTTCATCAGGCAGGCATTAGAACACTAGTGGCTTCAAGCAGCAGTTTATCATTTAGTATGTGAAGTAAAAAAAAATATTTGTGCTGTGAATAATTTTTGGCTGCTGATACAACCAAACCCCTAAAACTGTATAATACACAGCAATAAAAATACTTGGCAAAAGAAGATTTTGCAAAGACCATGTAATCACATCTGGGATGACGTAAATACTGTTGGAAAGGAATTCAATAAGTGTCACACAGTGCTTTTCATGAGAGTGGTGTGACACAGCTACACTTCTTCCGGCTACTCCTTGTCATTCAGCTTGAAGGAGCTTTATGGTATGTTAATTTTTTGTTGTACAAGCATGCTAATAATAAACGTAAAGATCTGTAAAACCCTCACCTTTTTCATGCTCTGCCCTGATGCCTTTTTAGCAATGAAGCTCTCAGGCACACCGACTGCAGAAGCCATCTTCTGTTCTGCTGCAGTCAGCTGGGTAAACTGTGAACCCAGGAACACAAACAAGCTAGTTAGCAAGGGACAGTTTAATAAACAGTTTAATAAAACATTTTTTACATTTGTAAGACAAATGAGTGCTTCAGAAGTGTTGTAGCAATCCTAGGATGAATTGAAGAGCCTAATTTGTATACTTCAAATTTAACAGAAAGAGAAAAAAAAAATTGAAAGTAGGATTAACAAGGAATCTCACTGACCAAACAACAATGAAAGTGCTACAGATGGCAAATTACGCTATGAAAAATCACAATTTTTGTTTTGCTAACACAAGTCAACTACATGTATTCATGTTGAAAATGTTGATTTTCTCTCAAGCTAGTGACATCAAACTTGGGCATAGCTTCCCAGCCCTGCATACAGGCTGCAGTCATTTTGGAAAATGCATTCATACAGTCCCAGTCCTACAATGATCTTGGATTTTCACCTTCAGCCTATTTTTCAGGGTCAAGGCGTATAATGACTCTGTGTTAGCTGTTGTATATTATTCTTACATCTGTATTTTGAAGACTGAACAATGGAGCAGTGAAATGCAAAATATATTTCCATTTGAAATACATATATACACGTGAAAGATATTGATATGGACAATATTTTTAAATAGATGTTTAAATAGAGCTTCTGGTATACAGTATACTGTTTCTGTCTATAAACACATTTCCTATAGTCTTGTGTGTTTGAGTGCCAGCTTTCACAGTACACAGCTTTCAGGATATAGCTTTGTGAACGGGCCAGCTAAGCTACAGCATTCAGAATACCCACAATGAAGATGTTAAAGTGAGGAGCAAAAGTCCATCTAACAGAGATCTCACCTGTCTAAAATACATCATCCAGTCTGGCTTGCACTGCATGACCATCTCATAAGGTGTCACTAAATAAATCAAATGAAGGAGGCTATTCAGCATAAGACCCTCCAGGCCTCTTGACAAGTCTCTGTAGAGAACGTCGCAGTAGGTGAGGTCTACAGAACCTACAGAAAACAAAGAAAAGCACATTTCCTTTTAATACTATTCCCCTGACCAATAAATTCCAACCTGATCAGACTGTTTAAAACCAACAAGATATCCATAACAGCAAGAGCAGTCCAGATCCTTACACAGAAGGCAGTTATTAAATAATTCAGGTTCAAAACATCATGCTTTTAGTTGAAAAAATACAATTAATTTTTAATTTAAAAAAAGCTTTCCATCAGTAAATTTGACATTTTCTTTCAAATCAACACCTTTCTATTTCTCTTATTGATCTAAATTGCAAACTAGATAGAACTGTCTCATATACAGTATGTCATAACAGGGTTAAATGAGTGGTGAAGGAATGCTTAATATCCAGCCCACTGTGGACTCAATTAATACAAATTACAGCCACTCTTTTTTAGGGCAAATACTCTTTTTTTTTGATAGCCCAAATTGATGGGTAACCCTAACAAAAGTGTAGAAAACTACGCATGCACTTCATGTGCTTCCCTGTCAAAGCACTTGCCTCACCTTTGAAGGTGGCTCTACCCAACTTTGTCACTTCAAGAAGAGTTTCTTCTTCGCCAGCAGTGCTTTTAACAAGGCCCTTCTTTGTCAGGATGTCTAGTGATTCACTCACAATGTCCCACAGGCTCTTCTCACCACATATTTGTTTCTCTTGTACGCTGAAAAGAGTACATGAGACAAAGTCCCGAATCTCCCCCAACGTCCTTGTTATCTGAAAAGAAACCCTACCATGTTAGGTTAAGGGAAGCAAAGAACTAGTTAGTGCTACTGCCTTACATCTCTCAGGTCCAGGGTACAAATTGAGTCATGGGTGCCTTCTGAATGGATGTTCTCCCAGTATTCATAAGGGGTTTTCTCTTGATGCTCCAGTTTACTCCCACCTTTCAGTGACATTCAGGTTCAACTCTAAATGTGCCTCTAAATCGTATGTATGTGTTGGACACAATGGGGTAACTGGCATTTTCAGATTGTCTCTGTGCGTTTGTGCTGTGCGATGGACTGGTTTTTCTTCCAGGACATAGTCCTGCTTTGCATCCTAGGCTTGACACAATCCTTGCAGTCTTTCTAATAATTTTCTTCATCATCCATTTAAGCAGAGTGATGTTAGGTTAAAGCCACTCTCAAACAGCACAGCCAAAACAGTAAGCAATCTATAACCTAGGTTTTAAATATTGTTTAACTCCTAAACACATATGATTATAAAAGAGAGGATGCCTTTCGATGCCTTATGTCTCACTGGTTGCTAGTAGTTTACTGATGTTGGGAAATTCCCAGAATGAGATCACTTTGTGTAGGAAAGTCCCTCATGTTCTTTCAATCTTAAATATACTTAACCTTCAACTGTACCCTCTAGAAACCTTAGATGTTATTCATCATAAAGTTAGAACTGACGATGTAGTATAAAGTACTGTAACTTGAACTCCATTGTTAATGGAAAGAGGCAAATTTTAATTTTATGAAATTATTTATCTATAGCAACACAAATAGGGCAAATCCAACTTATCTTGGAAAACACATTTATGAAAATTATTGAAACCTTCTGTTTCTGTAAATGTCTTTTGAACCTGAAGGTTTTGAAGAAATTCAGAGAAAGGTAAAGTAGCTATAAATTAGTTCAGGTGTGGACAGAAGTGTTAAATCTTCCCATGTAATCAAACAGGCTTGGAAAGGACAGAAAAAACAAAGAACGCAGCAGCCCTTTTCAGAAGAAGGTTTAAGAATGTAACCATAGCCTTCTAAAAACTGCGAGGTGGGGATAAAATTTATTAGGCCATGATACAGATTATTTTAAAAAGTATACATTTTCATTAGTGTATTCAGGGTAAGGTCAACTGTATGCAACTCTCCATACTCTCTCCTTTAGAAATTGCTGACTTTCACAACATAAAAAAAGCCATAAGTTCTTTCTCCAAATAAAGGTATAAATAGTTGGTAAATTATAATGTGATTTTAATTTAATGACATATTATGAAGGAATTACACTTTCAAAAGTATTTAAACTATGACAGATGATCCTATTAACTGACAAAACCCAAAGGACAATGGTGCTCCTCTCCTTTAGAACTGCTTTGACTTTAGCTTTGCCCAATCCTGATACTTACACTTAACCCAATTAGGGAGAGGATGAGGCTTAGTATGCCCCTGCCACTGTCATGCATCAGGTTACTGTAGCAGTTTTCCATTGATCTGCTCACCAGTTCCTTGGCCTGCAAGAACAACAAGTAATGAACATGGTTATTGAGCCAACATGCACATAGACAGGGGTGGACTCTACCATGATTAACAACCAGTTTTAAAAAGGTTAAAAATGCATACTGTAAATCCATTATAAATTACACTAAAACAGATATTTATATAATGGTAGAAAGTATAAAACATAAAGCTTCCTTGATATTTAAAGGAAAAACTACCCTCTGTCACTCTCTACTCCTTGCATGATTCCTGATAGCAAAATACTTAAAAAAAAATGTTAAGTATTCTGTTATTGGGTTTCAAATTCTACATGGGAAACAAAAGTGTCTTGTAAAAGTCTGTATTAATATGCCAAACCAATTCAGAATATCTCTCCTGAATTCGCAGATTCTTAAAGTGAGCTGGAGCTGTGAGAATAAACTCTCACCAAGATGTAGTGATGATCATCAACAGAAACACCAAAACTGAAGCAGCTCCCAAAATCCTCCTGGCAAAATGTCTATGTTGAGATTCAGTTCACATCAAAATGAGGTTTAAATGTCCTGATTATAAACTTTGTGGAATACCAAATAATTTGGGGTTTTAGGAAGAAACAAATGGAGCAGTCACAGCCTCAATGTCACCCTCCATTACAGCATTCAGAAGCAGCGGAGTTGTTCATGTGCCAAGGGAAATTGCGAGCTTACACCCATTTCTCACAATGGCATTTCTTACCAGTAGCTTGTCCTTCTCCTGAAGGATGAGGATACTCTCCCCTGACGTGTCAATGCCAGCTCGACCCGCTCTGCCAGTCATCTGCTTATACTGGCTTCTCTTCAGAAATTCCGTTGCAACATAGGGAGAGCGCAGAATAACCCTATTAGCAAATAAAGGATATTTCACACAGTGTCGGATCTCTCTCGTAAAATTACACCCAGACATGACGAATGACTTTCTGTTGCTGCAACTGCGGTTCATTCCAAATATTTCCCTGCGGTTTACCATGCACCACCGAAGAAGACACAATTAATGAGGTGGATAATTATTGTTAGTATTCCGGGAGGCGCTGTGATTTGAAAACATCAGTACAGTCTCCAAGTCTGTCATTAAAAAACTGTACATCTGATGCTTGGAGAGGCACACGTACAGCTGAGTGGGTGATGAAAAAGAAACCAGACTTACAGGCACAGAAATCTACAGGCCAAGGTTATTGACTGCATCTAACAACTGATTTAACTAAATCATTAGGATCTCCGCACTGTTTCTACTCTACTGAAGAAAAAGGGAGCACACAGCATGTGGGCCCAATAATGTACAGTATTTCGGCTCCCTCTTGACTTGAGGCAAGGCAAGCTTTTAATCACACAACCTAATTTCTAGATGAGTATTTGTGAGTAGTTGTCTGTAAGGAGAACACCGCTAACAGATTGTTCCCATTGTGACCGACCTGCGAGCTGGCAGGTTGATTCCAGCCGCCAACGTGGAAGTACAGGTCAGGAGGCAGAGAGCGCCAGACGCATAGGTTTCCTCTATTAGCTTCCTCTCATCGCTCGTGAGCCCACTGTGGTGGTATGCAATCCCATAAGGAACTGTCTTCTTCAACACCGGGCATATGGTGCCATTCCCCGTGCTCTTGAGTTCGTTGAGGAGATTGACCTTCTCTTTCTCTTTGTGTTGCATGAAGCTCCTGGTGTACATGCAACAGACTCAGTGAGTTAAGATGCACTTCAACCACTTTCTTCTGTGTTCCCTACCCTAAATCAAGGGGCACACTCCAGGAAAAAGAACAGTGCATCATCAAGGGGATCTTTTTGTTGAAATAAAATAATTACAAAAAAGACAAAGAACATATTTGTGTTTCTAACACAAATTCTGTATCTTAAAATTAACTGCTGTTGAATTTGACTGTGGATGCTTTAGGACTTTAAAATTACATAGTTATACTGTAGTTACAATTGGATAACAATGAACATCATTCTTAATTGAAAACCCTTTTCAGGGGACATAAATGTTGCATTTGTACACTATTTCTTTGATGAACTTAAGAAGGCTAGACTATGCACCTTTCGTTCATATGAAAACTGTAGTCTCGGATACTGTACTGTATGAAGAATTGTGCTACTAATCATTTGCGTCCACTTAAATTACCACTTCCAATTAAATTGGTACAAAAACAACATACAGTATTCACAATCTTTTATTAAAGTTTAGAGTTATTAAACTGCTTTAATACTATGAAATCTGAAAAATTCTGACTATGAATTATATTTTTAATATGATTAACGAATGTATTTTTGTGGGGGAAAAAAATCATGAAGACATGTACATACTTTTTCAAGTACTTGCAGATCATTTCTGCCACATTTTCACAGTTTTTCTTTGTGGGACAAAATACTAAACAGGAATGTGCTGGGATGACTTCGGTCACCAAAGCAATTAAGTGGTCAGGATCCATCTTCTGCATACTACTGGAATACTATAGAAACAAACAGAAATACAAAAGGTGAGAACTCCAAAAACTTTGAAGAAATTGAAAAACAAATATCATTGAAAAATAATATAATTATTTTTAAATAAAGCTGTGAAAAATTTCCCAATTTTTAATACTAATGCAATATTGGTAGGAAAAAAGTGCAAATCAGAAAATAAAACAAAAATGTAATGCCTAAAAACTTCACAAATTAAAAAATATGCAGTAACACAGAATGAAAAAGTCAGATCAAAGCTATTTAAAAATCTGATTTTTACAGCACAAATTTAAAGATGCTTATTCTGCTTAATTGGAATGCCTTTAAATATACCATATTTCTGTACCTTAAAATTTAACTGTCGAGAAAACTTGAAGCATTCTTCTTCCTTTGGATCAATTTCATAAATGCAATCTTGGAGCTTTACATATTCCTTAAGCTGGACCTGGACATTGGTACACAAAGGCAAATAAAAAAATGTTGCCTATAAAAACATAAGCCATCTAAGTAAAGGTCGCTGCTATCTTGTATGTTAGTCACTGTAATGCATCAAGGTCATATGGGTTTGACTTTGATATAGAAAACATTGTTTTAAAAATTGTTGATAACAGTATGCAAGGGTGTTTCAATGGGAAAAGACATTCGATTTATTATTTATTTCCATAGCTTGCTTTCTTATGAAAGATTTATTCTGCATGACGTGATATCGCCACGTGGGTATTTTAAATTCCCATAAGAAATTAGTAAAGACGCCACATAAAGAATCACCTCCGCAGGAATACACAATGCAGGAGCAATGTCACATGAGCACAAAGAAGGCTCACCACATAGAGAGAATACAAGTACTGATCAGTTGGATTGATTTGAAATTGAAGAGGATGGTATTTTAATTATTTTTGGTATGCCACTGTGAATTACACTGCAAGTGAAAAAGCAGAGAAGCTTGAATTCATCAGCGGCACAGTTGTTGAAGTCGGAGCATGAGGCAGGATAAGTCATGATGACGATCTTTTGATTTGGATGGTACTGAATCTCTGAAGAAATCTGTACTGTCATAGCTATGACATCAACTTCAAGAATTCCTCTCTGTAAGAATCAGCAAAGAATAATCTCTAGTGGTATGCAATCAATGTATTTCTGTATATGGTGATTATGTTTAAAAACAGTTATAATTTTGTGTTTGTTGACCATGAAATATAAACTACTAGCATTCAGCCCTTTGTGGTTTTACTTATTGAAACACCCTCTTATCTTCCATCCCACCCTGGAATCATATCTTTCTCTCTTCACTTGGTACAGGGCCAAAATAAGCAAGTAAGATTTCACTCCACAGATATAGAATTTAGTGGAGCCTTGACATTTGGGACAGATGTTGGTGGAAAATGAACTCCCTTTAGTGAGAAGGGTTATCCTTGACTGATCACTGTGCAATTGGTGTAGTAGTTTCAGACTGTAATCCAACTTGTGGACTCTTGCTTTGAAATCAATGTCATAAAGCTTCAGCCCTAATACAGGGGAATATTTCAGTATTTCATTGACTTAATTAATATATGAATTTCAAAGTAAAAGCACTGGAAAACCTCACGTACAGGTCTGAAGTCATTGGTGTAATTGTCAGCATGAAGGAACTTCTGCAGATCTCCCACATTGCTCAGGGTTGCACTCATCCCTACGATCTGTGTTGTTTCTGCTCAGGTAGAGATGCAGATCATTAAAAAAAAAACAAATAAGTGAATTTTACAGACTAATCTGTAAATGTGACTATGTTAAACCTCAGAAATCCAGAAGCTGCAGATTAGTGCTCAAAGCTATAAGATATCTGATTTATGCACCATCACAGACAACATTTGATACACACATTACAACTATTTATTTACTTTGACATAATATTCTTCTGCCTGAATGGTACTCAGCTGATAAACTCTATTTTAGAACTACACAGAGTAACATTTATTTTCACTATAGTTCAATACAACACAGTCAGCAATTTATAGTGCTATGTCTACATTAAAATCTAATTGTCAAAATATTACAACTGAAAATTACAGTTTAGACTGTCCTATAAAAATGGTATTTTTTTTTCCCAACCAGGGTTGTAACAACACTGAATGAAGTACTTTGTCTGTTTAATTATAACATGCCATTAAAGACAATGTACTTACTGCTAACATAGAGAACTTTTGCCAGTGTCATTTCCAATATTGCTCCTCTGCTGCCATCCCCCAGCATGTGCAGCTGTAAAAAACATGGCAGAGAACAATCACATGGTACACCTCACATTTTCCTGACTGGCACACTGTTTGTTATTAGTTTCATTATGACTTTAAAATTCACCTCCAAGATAATTAATTAGCTTCAGTTTATTATTAGCTATTGAGATACATTGTGCAGTAACAGAAATGAATATATCTCCTTACCTCATCCACCACTACGAGTCCCAGGTTGTCAAGTCTGTTTGTTTCAATGAGAGAGTTGACAAGGCTGTGTGCCTTCTCGATTGTGGCAATGTACAGGGATTTCTTCACTCTCCTCTTCACTGGGGGAAACCTGCCTTTGCTTCCTGCATACTCCTCCACAAGGAAGTCCAGCTCTAGCCCAAAGCTAGCCAGCCCTCTAACCTGCAGACAGTTGCAAACATATTAGAACAACACACAAACAAGGGTGACGTTAGACCAAATGACTGCTTCACTACATTTTACAAAAGACAGTGATGTGATGCATTTCCAGGAGAGGAATTGATCACTGGCATGTCTGAGAGGTACCATAAATGTGAGAGAGTATACCCAGATTGCTGAAAGTTCAAAACAGTTAATGTTATTCAACGTCTATTCTGCGATTAGGGCTGGTGGAAAAAAAGTCACAGTACAATGCACTTAAATGATTTAAAATAAAAATTAAAAGGGAACTTAAATCCTGAACTGAAACCAGCGCTCAGCTGGGCTCTCCTCCTCAGTGCTGCGCTGTGGTGCCATGTGTTCCTGGGATATTCACCTGATTGTAGAGTGTTAATGTCAACCTCTTCTTTTAGATATGATTGTACGCTTGTATTTTATTGTGTTGCTGGTGTCTGTATGCATGGTGTTAAAGGCATTTAAATTGTATTAAAATGCAGAATTTGTTATGTAAATAATAATAATTTACTCTTCACTGAGTAACACTGAGTAAACAAATGATAGTGTTTTATTTAGACATAACATTTCCAAATGATTCCCCTTGCTGGGGCAGTTTTATACTTTAAGCTAGCTATCAGCTACTACAATGACAACTACAACAGGGGGCAGAAACACCGCAAGCAGCTCCAAACCACAAACAGCAGTTGAATTAGCTGCTGTGAAGGATGTCATGGTAGTTGAAACAATACCCCAACATTTATTTGCACCAGAATGGGGATATCTTGATGACGCAATTAAATCAATACCATGCTCATTCATACTTTCATGGCTTTAATTCTGTAAAATATTTTCATAAGCTTGATGAACAGAGCACGTATAACCTGAAAAGCATTATAAACATAACAAATGAACAATATAGAGTATAGCATTTTTAATGTTTCTCAGTTTACTATATGTATTATACCCATAAGATACAGTATGTGATGATAACGTTTGTGCCCATATATTTAAAAAGCTGTAGGTTTAAACAATTCTTTACCTTCTCCTGAACAAGGGAGATATAAGGTAGAATCAGCAAAGCATCGTTTTTTCTGCAGAGCAGTTCACGAAGTATTAGTATCTCAGCAACCAATGTCTTCCCTCCACTAGTGGGTAATGAGTAAATGAGGTTCCTCCTCTGCTGTACAGAGTCCAGTGTCAGACAGGTCTGCTGCCATTCTAAAAGAGTGAATACAGTCATACAGACAGTCAGGACACAGTGTTTTATAAATAACTGCTTTTTGATTCAGAAAAGGATACTGAAGAAGATTGGTTTTTAATATCATAATCATAGAATCATAACATGAACATGATATAATCAAACACATAAACACTCCTGTAAAATTTAGAGAGGCATTAAAAATGCAAGAGATATGTATGGGAACCATTGACATACAGTATGATACATTTTTGTCTTTCAGTATATATATTCTGAGCATCAAAACAATCATCACACTATGCATATACAGTATGTTTTTAGAAAAATAAAGAATATTCATTTTGAAAATTGATTAAATACTTTTGATGTCATTTTGCTTACCATTGATTACCTGATCATTCAATTCCCCCAATAACGTTTTGAGTTTATTGCAGTCACAGCTGATACATTTCTTTTTAATGTTCAGTATAAACTGTATATTTAGCTAAAAGGCCTTTGACATGTCAACAAATAGCTCAGAGTTAGGTAAAAGGGTATAATGTAATCCATTGTAGAAGAAAAGTTGAATACAGTTACCTAAAAAGGTGACATAAAATGAAAATAAAACTGTGTTAGTATGTGAGATAACTGCTTACCATACAGATCTTTAATCCCTCTTAGTCTGTAGATCAGGTCTTTTACTTTACTAGGAAGCCCAAAAAACGGTCCAAGATCAATAGCTGAGGAAGGTTCCATGGCTTGCAGTGCCACATTAATCTCCTCATCCACCACAGTCTGCTTCTGTTCTTTCATACGAGACACCTGGGGTGACTGCACCAAGGCATTTCCCAGCATGGCCTTCTTCAGCTGGTCTCTCAAGCTCACTCTCCTCTGCAAAGCAGGGTTTCTGATCTTCATCTCTGATTTGTTTTGCAGGACAATGGGGCCATCATCTCTCCTCAATGCAGAGGACGTGTAACACACGGAGGAATTGTCTGACTCTCTGTGTTCCCCTTTTGCAGAACTCATACTCCTTGGTTTCATTGCAGCTTTGTGGTTCTCTTGCTGAAACGCAAGCTGGGAACTTGGCAGTTCTGCGAAAAAGTCATCAGCTGAAGAGTTACCTTCACAGATCTCCTTGTGGGATGGTCTTTTAAGATCATTGCAATTTTCCGTGGTTTTTAATGTATTCAAGTCTGTTTCGAGGTGAACAAGCTGCTGTTTGATATCTGAGTGCTGTCCCCTAGTCTTTGCACACTCATTCTCAGCAGTGTTCAGAACTGGGGTACTGCTGCGTTGTTCGAAGTTCAGTTCTATATCGTCGAGCTTTGCCAGGAAGGAGGTGTCACAGGCGATGCTGTCATAATCACCAAAGAGGTCTTCATCATCACTGCAGTACTGTGAAACCAACAAGGGAAGCTGAGCATGATTTTGAATCAGACCACAGTACATTTTATACAATTAATTAAATAAAACCCTTTAAAACTTTCTACACTCTAATAAAATCATAGAATGTTGTTGTATGTTGCAAAACCTAATAACCTAGTGATATCAACACGAGAAAAATAAATGTAATATATAGTCGTTTTTAAAGTCGTTTTTCTTACGTTGTTTGCTTTAGTTCAGTGCTTTCAGGTGATACATACAGAGCACATTTTTTCTACATGTAGTACTGTACGCTGGATTTCGTTTCACATTGTAGTTCAGTGGTTACGTTTGTGCATCTGAAAAAACGCTTAATTCCCATAAGGCTAAATGTTCAAAATGCAAAGCTTTTATTTCTCGGAATAAGGTTTTTAAACTTCGGTTTAATTTTATATCAATCACAAATATATAACCCATTACAGATTCCTTTGCATTTAAGATAGAAGAAATATAAAGAAAACAGGAGATACGGTGACAAAAAGGTATTGTGCTTTTGAAACGTATGACATTTACAGTAGCTGGTATACTGTACCTCGTTGTGCTGAGCATCTGCCATGTATCCAGACTCTGTCTGTCCAACGTCTTGCTCCTGCAGCGACGAGCTGTGCTCTTTCGCGGTGGGGCTGCTACTATGTCTTTTTTTTGCAGGGGTGAAGTGACTTCTCAAAGCATCTCTCGATCTCTTGCGGGAGACTCGTTTGATGTTTATTTCTTGGTCTAATTGTGAGCTCATCATACCAGCCGACAAAAACGTACATAAAGGACCCTAACGGTTCGTTTCGAAATGTGCATGTTTTGTATCTAATATTGTGTACAATAGCTCCGAATCAAGATAAACTAGTGTAATCTTAGATTTAAGTAAATAACACATAATAAAAATTAAATAGTAGCTTTTAATGTCAAAGCTATAAAAGCGAAATAGTGTTTTAAAGAACAAATATTAAAACGGCTAACCAAACGTTCTTTTTAGCTGAAGAACAAACGTCAAAAGACAGACACAATTGCGATGACAACATTTTCCACAGCAAAAAAAAAAAGACAATTTTCTCTTTACATGGTTTGGAGAGCCATCACTTTTTCATAACGCTTTTGCTTCATTAAAAACTGTCATAAGATATAGCAACATTCTACAGGACGTCCACGTCCGAGCAATTAAAAACGTAACACCAAACCAAACAAGAAAACCGACCAATCGGATGGAGGCGAGGACATGTGGTGCAGTTCACACATGATCTCTATAGGGGGCTCTTGCTTGAGGAAACGAACTGCGCGCCTAGGAACGTTTTGTAATGCCCTTGCTTACACTGGGAAGACAATAATCATCGTACTCAGTGACAGGAAGAGAGTGGGGAGTGCTTTGTACTTGGCCAAAAGATGATTGCTGTCAGAACCTGCAGGATTGTACTTTCTGCTGTTTTAAAACCATCGCCAAAACACACAGGTACAAAATTTAGGTGATCTTTGTTTGTATAGAGTACATTCCAATTTTTGGCATTAAATCTATAACATCTTGTGTTTTTAAAAGTACGACAGGGGACATATTGTGTTCTGACCTAGGGGTCAGTGTAATGCATTCAAACCATATTACACGTGTAATATGTGCAGTTCATTAAAGATAAGGACATTAAATTTAAAAAAAAATAATAATGTAACTGTAAAAATTGCCAGTAGTTCAAGATACCACCTAACTACTTATTGTAGGTTTGAGATGTTTGCCTCTGCTTAGTCGTTTTTTTAGGTGATGATTTTAGTGTATATATTCTAAGTGTAGATTGCGATAAAGTAGTATTTATTACTGTGCGTTTATTTAAAGAATTTCAGTTAAGTTTTGTAACTGATTATTAAAATGTATGTTTTTCATTTATACGTTAGAGTACTTCATATGTTTGCACAGTATTAGGTCCAGAAAATGATAAGCTTAATTCCAGGTTTGCTATTTACCTCCATAGGGCAGTCACTAAGAAAACTATGCAGTACACAACATGACACGCAGCCAAGCAATAGCGATATGGTAAGTGAATTAATAAAAGTAAGATAAATTCCACATATGCTACAATGGTTATTTGTGTCCTGCTTGTTTATTATAATCATTTGCTTCTGAAATGACACCTTCTGGATATAAGCAAAATTATTTTTTTTCACATTACAAATCTTTAATGAGTGCATAGTTTCTTGTTACAAATGTAACATTTTTGCTTTCTTATCCAATTCAAGAATCTTGCAAATGTCCTTTAAATGTTACTAGATACAGCTCATCTCTTGGAAATCCACACTCCTGCAGGTTTTATACCTTCAAAATATCAATGAAAATAGTCATAAAACATTAAATGAAGGTATTTGGCATGTACAGTACATCCCTTGAAATGTGTGTGCTTCAGCATATTTTTTTTTTGTTTTTCTACATCTTACTGGTGACTGCTTATAAGAGCTGTGACACTTTTTATACCCACAGCCTATAAAGATGGAAAATCCATACAAAGAGCCTCCAAAAAAATGCATACTCTGTGGCATTGCAGTAGACTACAAAAATGTACAGGTTGGTTAAGAAGTATTCGCATTCTTGTTCCTCATAACTTTACATAAATAAGTTCATATCGATTTTATATCTAAATGTATCTTTATATTTCATATATTTTTTTTTTCTGTAAAGACAGTAATCTTTATGGTAGTATGTACAGTAGGACTGAAATACTCTCTAGGGGAATAACATATTTAAATAGGTGGCTTACAATTCAGGACAGAAGAAAAACAAGTGTGTTTTTGTTAATCCTTTCCTTTGGAAAAAGGGTTAATTAAAATAAAGCTATCATGATAATTGCAATATTGGTTATTGATTAGCAGCACAAATTACTTTTCTTCCACTTATGTTAATTTTTGTTGTTCTGACAGCTTCTGTCACAGTTTGTATCGCCCCACACAGGCCGTGTTTATGGCAGGCACATAACTGGTAAGATTTTAATAATTATTATTCCTTACACATAAACTGAAAGTAATTTAATAATTCCTTACATTTATTAGAGATTTTATTAGGGAATGTGGCCAGTACACCAGGGTTAACACCCCTATGCTTTTCGGTTAATGCTGTGGGATTTTTAGTTACCTGGAGAGCAGGGACCTCTGCTTTATCTCATCAGATGGACTGAACCTTTTTTACAGTGTAGTGTCGCTGTCACTGTACTGGGGAATTAGGACCTACACAGTTACTGATCACTGATCTGCCAGGGAGAGCACTCCCAGCTGAACCCACTAACACCTCTTCCAGCAGCAGGCGGATGGGACACCTCCTAAGAGACCAGTAGGTCTCCCATCCAGCTACTGTTCAGACTCACACAGGCTTGACTTCAGTGGGTTGCCAGTTGTGACTTGGAGGGTGATACAGCTGCTAAATTTGTAGAGAGGTATTAAGTAATATAATGTTACATTGTATTTTAAAACAAAATATTAACTTAGTAAGTTAATAATAATAACTTAATAAGTTATAATTATAAACTGATCAGAGTTACAAACTGATCATTTTGTTTCCCCACAGCTCTCGGATCCTGGTTTCAATTCCTGTGGGGCTTCTGTGTTTAGTTTGCATACTGAGTGCTCCAGTTTTTTTCACTTTCCAAAGACTAAAATGTTCCTGAATGCCTCTATGTCCATATGTGCTTGCCATTGATAGAAATTTCAACTAAACTACTCAACTTAGGATCAAGTGTACAATGGATGGCTTCTGGGAATAACAGAGCTCATTTTGAAACTCTTAATTAACCTATACTGCCTATGAAATACATATATAAATATATAGTAATCAGAATATTCAAAATAAAAATTCAGAATTGTATTTCCAATTTTTGCAGAGTATCAGATTGGTCTGTTTTTCAGGAGTAATATGAGTTCTGTAATAGCCATTTGAGTACATTATGTTTTTTGCTGTTCCTAAAACACTTTTGTTGCTCCATTTAGGCCTATGTGGGAAGAAACAGAGGGAAATTTCCAAAGCCATAAAGCAAGCTCATCACATGGGTACGTTCTCATGTTTGTTAATAATTTCCTTTTTGCCTGGTACTGTGACAATAGCCTGGTTGAGCAAAACTTTTTTTTCTACTATTACTAGGAAACAGTTCACCACTGCTTCTGGTTCCTGTTATTTCTCCCACTAAAGCTAACTGAATAAAATCACTGTATTGTTGAAGAGGGTATGATTCGTTCAGCTCAAATTTCATTGGGTGTAGCAAAAAGGAAGCATGCCTTTCTATGGTTTTTAACTAACATATGGGTCCCTTTTCCAAACATGTTATTATTAAATATTCTTTTTAGTTAGTAAAGAAAAATGGAGACTTCACTGTTAAGAAAGTTCAGTTTGTAAATATTAATAGGGGAATAACCCAATTCATGCGATTAATCTAGAATAATCTCTTCCAATAGTATTTTATCATGATCATGATATTTATGAAACTGTAAGACCAGGAGTCCTTCTCCTGAGATTTAAATCTCAGGGAAATGATTAAAGGGTACACTTAGCAATAAAAGAATTTCTTTTGGTGTCATAAACTGACATACCTCATATAAAACAAGATTTCTGTTTTAGAGCTTTTACATAGCAATGCATCTGTTTTCAATACCATTTACCTCAGAGGTCTTAATTTGCCAATAGGGTGAGGAAGTATCAGACTGGTTTACTCCTTAAAATCACATCAATAGAAAATGCTGTGTCCCATCTTTCATATGGTGTACCAAAAAAGCTGTTTGAGAAAATTGTACTCTTTAATATTGTTCTTTTTGTGAAATTAAAATATATTAATAGAAGAGTGTAAAGGCGACGGAGTACCTATGTTTTAAAGGCTTACCTGTCATTATCTTTTCTTGATGTTTGGTTAACACATTTCAACTTAATATTCTGTGTTCTAGGTTTCATGCCTGTGACACTGAAGGATCCTGCCTTTCTTAAAGATCCCAACATTTGTGACATTAAGCACCTGGAGTAGCTGTTCTTTCAAGCCTGGTGTTTCTATTTTGTATATGTATTCAGATACCTGCTATAATGAAACAGTACCTTTCACATTAGTGCAAGTGTCTAAAATGGATTTTTCCCATGTGAACCTACTCCAATGTGGATACAACCAGACCAGTTCACAATATAATAACTATTGATGCAAAATGATATAACGATTATGATGTATCTATAGAGCATATTTCGTATTTGTTGGAATCAAGGCACTTGGAAGTAATATATATCCTTTTGCATTCACTTATGGTACTTACCACCTTCCAAGAGTGATGGTTCAGTCACTGAGCTGCACCTGTTAAATCTCATTTAGCTCATTGGCTCAGTTTCCCTGTCAATAAAGTAAACTTGCTTTGTACCTTATGGCTGCATTTGTGTTTTCCGGGACCCATCTATAAAAAGATCTATATTAATCTATTACTGTGAAGAGGCATGGTCAAAACCAATTAATCAGAGGTTGCAATGAACCTCAAGCAACATACTGATTTAGTTTTTAAACAAAATCTGCCACACTGAACTTTGTATTTTTATATATTCACCTGTTAATTATGGTTACATACCCACCATTTTTCACCCAATTTTCACATCTGAATAGGTGGCTGTGAACCCTGCAACTGTACAAGTGAAAAAGGAGGAAGTGTAGGCAGACTTCTCCAAGCCACATACAGTACCTTTGAGCCACTTGCATTACTGGCAAATCACTGGTTGAGCGCCACCTGGTGACGTGGAGGGGCACGGTTAATTGTTTTTAATAACCCATCGCCAAAATTGCTGAAATTTTAAAAAGATTCTTCTTTTAATATCAAATAACAACGCAAATCACTCAAAGTTAAAATGATGCCTATCACCCTTTCCAGGTGAGATTTCTCTTTTGGGTCTCATAAAAGTGGTCTCTCTCACTACAATTATGAATCTTGCCAGCAAGGAATCTTTAGAAGGTTGGGGAGCGGGAGTATTCAGTATCTCCATTCTGAGAATCCAGCCCATCGTCTTCCGTATCTGGTTCGCTGAGTGTCAGTACGGCATAACGATGTCTCTCCTGACAGCTGCCTTTCATAGAGCGGGTTACCCTGGAGAGCTCTGCAAAAGGGCGTTTCCTGGGAGGCGGGGTCTGACCTGGGGAACTGGCTCTGACTTTCTTACTCTGTCCTTTCGTTTTTGCTACGGTGTCTCCATCTCCCAGGAGAACCGGGAGCTTTGCGGAAATACCCATTTCGCGGTCCGTGCGACAGCAGTAAGCAAGTATGGGGATGCCCTTGAGTGTGAGGGCTGGTGTCCATTTCATTTCGGAGTCTGGGAACGATGCCTTCAAAGCCCGGCAAAGGTACACATTCTCCTCCTGAGGACTCCTGACAGAGAGATCCTGCTCTGAAACGCAATGACAAGAGCACAACAGAAGTGAGAAAGAGAAGACAGACTAAAAGCTTAAGCAATGATATTTCACTGAGATATACTTATTCTGATCACAAAACTATTTTTTCTCATGTACGGATGAGTCTGTTATGGAAAAAAGGTGGATGGTTGTAGTCCTAGAAGCAATGCAGAAGCAGAAAGTACGCCTGCTTCTCATAACTCTTCTTTTACTAACACACCATTACGGTTTTAAAATAAAACTGCATATTTTCTTAGTAAGCTACTAACTCCATATGAAGTTTATTTATATTAGCATTATATATCATTTTCCATAGTCAGTTTCAGATTTTTCATTACATACTGATGGTGTTGTACCAATAAAATGCAAGAAAGGACCTTTAGAAAACCGAAATACAGTATACTCCTGGACCTGTCTGAGATAACCATGGTGAATTATGAGATTTGCCACTAATGCTGAACTCATATTATACTTAATTTGCATCTTAGGTATGAAAAGCTGCCCGATACATTGCATACATGCAATACCAATTGGATGTAATCTCTGCACCGTCCTTGCTGTTAACTCAAGGTTTCATGTTCTATAATTCAAAATAAATTCAGGAGGAAAATTGCTACCTTCCCTGTTTCTCACCTTCAGATTTGGATTGTACCCTTCTCCTCTCAGCTACAGCCTTTCTGAGCTGGGCGACCTCCGTCAGAAGCTTCTCCATCGCGCGCTCGCTCTCTTCCACTCTTGCACAAGTTTGCTGGACGGTGCACAGAAAAAAGGACAAACCATTGTACAAACAGTCCGTCACAGTTGCTGCGGCTTCCAATTTAGGAAGCTGCACTGCTGCCTAACTGAGTGTTCCGAGCTAATTAAAAACTTCATTACCAAATCAGTTTTTCAACAGCTGACCAACAGTCCTCGACAAATTCTGCTAATTACTCGTTTAGCAACTGAACTAAATCAAAAGTCTTTAGAATAAAGCACTACTCTTGAACATAAAATATAACTAAATCATATTAAAGAAAAACTCAAAATCTTCATTTCTTTATCTTTTTTTACAAGATAATAGACTTTCAGATGTGTCAGAAAAGCAGTTTGAAGTCTGTGTTCATGCATCACAAATGAGATTTCATGAACTGTCGTGTTATTTGTCTCAAAAATATTTGTATCATTCAAAGAACACACATCTGCTGCTTCTCAGGCACCACAATCTCAAATTGACTTCAGCAGCAAAAACAGTCCCCTGAAAAACAATGGAATGGTAAAAATATCAGACATAAAAAAGGGTGTGCTTCAGTGTTACTAGCTGGGGAATCTAAGTGTAGAAAAGGTGGGACAGTACTGAAACCACAGACAGCACACAAAAAATCACTGATCTGCCAGGTATGTCAGTCTCTAAAAACACAGCTCTAGGCCTGACCTTCAGCTCCTCTTGAAGCGAAGAATTCATTTCATTCACGTCATTGACCTCCTTCAGCGAGCCATCTGAAGCAAAGAACCTCGACCTGTGCACAAAGAACAAACCTCAGCTCTGACCAAGTCAATCAACAGCACACCTTAGGCAAGAGAAGTTGTCAGACAACAGACAATTTGATTTCATGGAAAGAAAGAAAAACCTAGTGTTTCAATAGTAAATATTCAGTTACAAATGTGTTAAGGACAACAGTTAGTGCAACAGTACTTCTAAAGGTCTTAAATTTTAGCACAAATGCTGACCCAAAAGCTTTGAAAATACTGCAAGCTATTGCAATGTTTGTGTGCACATAAGGATTTAGATATACTGTACATATTTATATTAATTCACATAATCAACACCTGCATAGATACAGTATTTGAGCACTGTGTAATGACCATCCATAGACAGAGCTGAGTGACAACTCAGCCCCATACAGTTTTAACCTTGTTTTACTCTCTTTCCCCCAAAACACACCATGCTCCCCTCTCCCCTGCAACATTTCACCTGTGTTTATTTATTGCTCTTTTATAACCGGCAGAAGAACAGGACACAGAGGTCCTGCAGTAGTCCTGCTGGAGTAGCATTCCAAGGTTGGTCACCAGCACTGGGATTTTGTGAAACTGACTGTTAATAATAAAAAAGAAAAACAGTTTTAAAATGATTCAGTTTTATTTCTCATACAGTACATACCTGAAGCATGACCACGCACAAATTTATTCTTTATCTCATCTACCTGAATTTCAAGTTTCAAAATTGTCTATGAGCCATCTCTTTTACATAGCAAAGATCTAAATAAATTGATTTCAAACCCCTGTAAATCTCAGAAGATCATTATTTTTCATTACGCTTACAGAAATAACGTAAGATGTTTTCTTTCCATTAGTGTCAAGAAACACACATTAGCCCACAAAGCCCCTTACAAACAAAATGAACAAATGATTGGGCTTATAAAGGGAAAAAATCTGAAGTTAATTATAAAAATAATAAGATAACGGGCATCCATTTGGCACCCTAGTTTTCTGAGATAAGTATAAGAATGAGCAGATCGATGAGGGATGAATAGATATTCTAACAATGCAGATACTGTTCACTGCACTTTTGAATGGGTTAATGGCACCAGGCAGCACTAAGCATCTCACCTGCCATGGGCCTTGAATATGGAGTATTCCAGACGGTATGTGGAGCCCCTTGATGACATTTCACTAGTGGTCAACAGTAAGAAGACCAGCTCGTAGTTGGAGAATGCTCTCTGCAAATTGCGATGGATGATTTGGTCTCGGAAGGTCATTCTGTGATCTGTGTTTCTCCTCTGCCGGTACCAGCCGACCACATTGTCCTTAAAAACAAAAATGTACTCAGGATTTACTCCATACATCACCATCCTGGACAGTGCTCTCAGTGTGCCTTGAAAGTATTTCCACATCATCAATCACTATGTATCACAATGTAATGTAAGTATGTATGCATGCAAACTGGACCAATTCCAAATAATTTATCAAATGTTTGTTGTTTTTTTTAGTTTTATTAAGAGTTCTGAATAAAAAAAATGGTAACACTACAACATCTTCTGGAATACTTTAATTATGCTTGTAATGCAACAGCAATAACAGTGCAGTGGCACTGCATGGAGTTAAAATCTTTTGTCATGATTAAAACTCTTCTAGGAGTTATCAGAGAACTTGACAAAACCTGGCAAAAATCAGTTCATGAGAAGACACGTGATCCATGGCAGCAGGCTGAGCAAGCTATAAGCTTATACTTTAAGTGTGGAAATTATTCAGACACCTTGTCTTCCCAAGTTATATAATACTGAACAATGAATAATTATTATCCCAAGACATGCCATCTTGAAAAAAATACAATAGTTTTACCTTTTTGTGTCTGGATAGTATTTTCTTTATCTCCTCCTCTTTTAACTCTCCAAGATAACCATAGAAGCTGAAAGAGAAAGGCTGTAATAGTGAGCTGTTGGGGAGGGGGAGACTACAAGTTTAAGGCAGGATATAGATGTATCACTTGCAAAGCTGGAAACAGGATTTTAACAGGATTTTTGCAGTAGTTAACTCTCATTCTTCTGGCTTTGCAACATGGAATAAGCATCTACTTGGTTCTTTGCAATCTGCTTTCAGCCGGATGAAGTTGTGTCATTTAGGTTTCATTCTATTTCTTCATTTTGTTTTATCAATAGACTAAAAAAACTGTTTGTTTGTTTTTTTTCAAATTTGGAAGCGGATGATTAAGACCACACATTAATCATCTTTAATTATTAAATGAAAGATGTTTCTGGTCCTGTGTGTGGTGCCCAGATGTTTGGAGGTTGAAGTTCGGCTTTAACTTGACAGCTCAGAAAATGCATTCATAAAAAAACAGCTCTGTGAACTACTGCTAATAGAAGGAATAAAGGCTTCCATTTGGGCTGCAAGATAACAGTATTTTTTTTTCATTCTAGGACGTAGTTAAATCTCCACATACGCAGGGTCCCAATTAGCGCAACCAGAAAAGGGGGACTCTCTTGGAGAGCAGGTTAAACCCCTTGGCCCACAGGGCTAGTAGTAGTCAGCTCTTGTGGTTCCGGCTCTGTGCTAACATTAGAGAGGGACTGCACCCCTCCAATTGGAGAAAATGGTCTTGGCAGGCACCATGAAGCTGGCAGCAAGTCAACAAGACTAACATTTGAAACTTCCAAACTGAGTGAGTGTGTGATGAAAATGAACTGGTGGTTCCAAATGTTTTTAAAAAAAAATCCCAAACTTGATGGTCTGCAGTTTCTCTCCCATTTAGACCCCAAATCAGGACAAGATATTACGAAGTCAAATCCAGTAAGTGAACTCACCTATTTAGCTTGTAACAGGTCACATGTTTTGCAATGTCTGCAAAACAAGAGCGTCGCGTCATTATTACGTTTTGCCATGCAAACCTGTTTTCTAAGTTAGTCAGTAAAACAACCTGACATAAGAATAAAGGAATAAAAATCACCTGCTTTGCAAGGTAAATTGTGCTGTGTGACAAAATGTGCTGCCCATGTAGCACTAAAACAGCATTGTCTTCCCATTTGTAGCAACTGACAGAATAGAGGAGCTAGACACTGCATTATTATTACTGTGTTTACTTTTTCAAAGGACTGGACTTGCATCAATGCGTACTGAATCTCAATCTACAACCAAAACTGATTTTTTCATCAAGTGACTTTCTTGATCTGAACAATACGAGTAGCCTAGACTAAGAAATGTGGCCAATGGACACTACGATTATTAAATTAAAAACGATAATGATAACATCTTATTTTCATCTTTTATGCCGTTTTTTTTCAATAGCAAACACAGCAATGCAAATTATTTTCCATATTTAATGCTTGCAGCTTAGACCAGCACAAAGTCATCAAAAGAGGTAAATGATGTGTATGCAATGTATATGGTAAGCTACTGTGTAGATACTGAGGCTGTACAGTTTCTCTTAACAGCATTTCTCAATGGCTTCTGAATTTTAAGATATTACTATATAAGGAATTCTGCTTTAAGCAGAAAAAACATTATGTTTCTGTTAATTGCAAAACACTTTAAATGGCAGGTTTTATTTCATAAGCATTATAAAAGCAAACACACTGTTCAAGAATGTTGTCTTTGCACATTACTACCAAATTCCCATTTGATTTTGGGGTACACTCTAGGCCTTGTACTTGAAGGGATCTGAACGAGGTTTAATTGGACCAATTAATCTTTCTTCCACAGCCTTCAGTAGCTGAAAATTGAAAGAGGCATAGAAAACCAGCTGAATTTTGGACCCCAAGGAGTAAGAACACCTGGTCAAGAGTTTCTGTGCATTCCAGGTTGAGAGGTACTTACAGTACTATCATTTAAAGCTTATATTGCATGAATAATTGAATGAATAATTTAATTAACTGAATAATTCTTTATTGCCACACAACAACAGTTGGTGGAATTTGCTTTCAGTACAGCAAGAGAACAATCATTAAGCAGACATAAAACATGTACAATATTAAAAACTGAATAAATATTTAAACTAAAAGACATGAAGCAAATCACAATCACATGCATACGTAAAACTTAACCTTACATTTTAGCAAACAAAATCTGAAAAAAAGATGCATACAGTGAGCTTAATAGCTAAATGGGGAGAATTGAAAAAACGGAGTTCTCTAAAATAGCCACCTGGATTTGTCTGCTGAATTGCATTTTACTGCTTTGGCATGATTTTAAGCTGTTACAGTTTGAATTGGCCTGTCACCACAATACGAACCTATGGTGTGCTCAAACTGAACATGTTCCATCTGGGAATCTGTGATGTCGTTCTTTTCCTCAGCCTTGATTTCACCAAGAATGAATCCTTCCTAAAATGAAAAGGACATCATGCTCTTTTAGTGTGTTACTGCTGGTAGCTACAATAAAAAAAAAGTTATAAAGTGAATCACAACATAAGCTGGAAAGGAAAGCATTGAAAACGAGAACACTCCAGCTGAGTTAATTTTGCCTTATAAGAAACAAATCTGTCCTAAGACTCCTAGTTATTGCGTTTGCTTCCATGTTAATTTCTTTCGTTTACCATACCTTAAAAGTAAACGGAAAAAAATCAAGCAAATCGTATTAAAAATGTCTATATAAAATAGTGTTATCAACAATATCAGAGAACAGCGATGCAGGACAGCGCTGAAGTTTTTGACAGCTCCAGTTTTGGTCAACATCGGTGTATCTACTTTGTATCTATGCTCACCTAATCTATAATTTAACTATAACCGGATATTGTTTTTGAAGTGTCGACCTTTTTTCTTTTTTTTTCCTTCCACTGTAATCATTTATCTTAACTTTTAATTGATATGAAAGGGCAGTCTTTTCTTAGTTTCCTTGTCTACTTTCTCTCTTGCTTTTAAAATTACATCCTGAGTCACAGTCCATGGCTCCTTTACAAACAAACGTATATTAGTTCCCCTGAACTGAGAGGATTGTTTCTTTCACATTTACTCACCACGTCGGAGTCGTTGTTGAAGTGATGGAAAATTAAAGATCCCAGCACATATCCTGAAACACAGACTCTCGTGTTCTCCGCCATGCTTCCTGTAGTATCTGACTCCGCCTTCCTGTTTAAATGGCGCTTTAGGCTCCAAAACAAAGACCGACCCATTGGCGCCACCTGCTGGATCTCACTAAAAGTCCGATTTTTTTTTTGCAGCTACACTGGAGGTGCTGGTGGAGACATGGGTATGTCTCGTATTGTTTCAAAGAAAAATGAAAATGAATTTGATAGAACAAACAAACAAACATAATTAACAACTGCGAATTATACTATTTAGCCTAAATTAAAAAAAATAGTTATTTGGAAGTTGTTTTCATGTAATGCAAAAACACAAGAAAATAGATCGAAAAATCCACATTTGCAACAAAACAAGTCACTTGCTTAACTGATCACAATTATACATTGTTTCGAGTCTTTACAAATCGATAATATAATGTTACCCATGAAACCAGCTGGAGGGTCTCCAGGACCACGGATGGAGAAGACCCCGCTGTCCTGAATTTTTTAACATAAATCCCTGTCATCTCTTACAATCACGGGATTACTTAAGAGCAATTTAGTTTCTACAGTATATTTTCTGGAATGGTACACTGTAGGTAATTAGTCTTTTCTGTTGCTAAATGTGACTCCACTGTTTTCTAGCACATTATTTGTAATCCATCTGGAATTCGTTGATTCCAAAAGAAAATGTCGAATTCATTTTAATTCATTTTAGGTTAATTTAAAGCGAATTGTGATTAATAATAATAATTGCTTATACTTAATAGCGCTTTTCTGGACACTCCACTTAAAGCGCTTTTACCACCACCAATGTGCAGCATCCACCTGGATGATGCGACGGTAGCCATAGTGCGCCACACATCAGCTATCAGTAGGGAGGAGAGCAGAGTAATGTAGCCAATTCATAAAGGGGTTTTTAGGAGGAAAGTGGGAAATTTGGCCAGTACGCAGGGGTTACACCCCTACTCTTTTCGAGAGACGCCCTGGGATTTTTTAATGACCAGAGAGAGTCAGGACATCGGTTTTACGTCTTATCCGAAGGACGGCGCCTGTTTACAGTATAGTATCCCCGTCACTATAGTGGGGCATAAGGACCCACATGGACCACAGGATGAGCGCCCCCTGCTGGCCCCACTAACACCTCTTCCAGCAGCAACCGTAGTTTTTCCCAGGTCTCCCATCCAGGGGATGACAAGGCTCACACCTGCTTAGCTTCGGTGGGATGCTAGCGGTGAGTTGTAGGGTGATATGGGTGCTGGTTAGTGTTTTTAAAAGTGCTATATAAAATAACAAATATTAATGTCGTACCAACCTCTATACGGTGAATTATTTTTTGTGTGAAATTATCAAAATTATTAATACATTAAACTTACGGATATAGACTTTTTTGTATAATGAGATCATATTTCACTACTTTTGTGAAATTGTTCCCGAAGAAGAAAAATATAGCACATAAAAATGTCGACACCATTCTTGAGATTTATATGTGATAAATATATGACAGGATAAAAATCATTCTCAGACATTACTGAGAATTGTTTCATTCTGTCTGTTTTCAACAAGATTTGGTTGAAATAATGTGTATCGCAACAAATCACATATCGGATAAAGGGCTATGTAAATACTGTACTCTAGTCACACAAGGCAACTTTTGAGTTATATTCACCACAAGGAGGCGTTCTCTTTCAAAGGTTTGTTTTACTCCGAACTTTGCTCTGAACTCCGAGAACATTTTCAGAGATTGCGAGAACGATTATCAACGATTGTTCTTCCACAAAAGTGAAGGACTCAAGGCAACACAGCATGATCAGAGGATAATGATGATATAGTGAAAGTCTTCAGCGTCCAGGTTAGTTGTTTTTTGCTCGTTTTGTCGCAATCAGAAACATCGTTATGTTTCATTAATTTACCGACCGACTTTTTGTAAGACGGACGGCTACCGTCTTACTGAACATTGAACACGAAATGTATGCGAAGGTCTTTTTATAAAATCTTACTCAGACGTATCTGATTTAAAATTGAGAATAGGGGCATGATACTCTGAACGAATTCGAATTTTGTCTCACGTTTATTTTTACAGTGAAATGCGTATTTAAACAAGAAGTCTGTTGTAATGTAGCCAAAATAGTTCATTCAGAACGCTCGGGGTTGGGTTCTGTTTTTCTTCGCTTTACAGCGAGGCGGATCCGATCTTCACCAGTTATGGTGTTTAACTTTTTTTTGTTTAGATTAATTATGACACCTCCCTCCGTATACACTAGTTAATGTATCAAGACGTTTCTTATTTGAATTTATTGTAAAGTTATATAATTGAGCATGTTCTAAATATTAATAGTTCAATTATTTTCTGCTTTAAATAACAATAGCTTAGTATCTCAGTAACTCATATTCATTACTAAGAAATTATTCTTTTCTACAACTGTGCATTTATTGTGATGATTCGTGATGATAACGATGATTATAAACGTTTTGCCTGGAACTTATTTTTTCATTAGAATTTTTTTGCAAAAATACTACACAATATTCAGATCACAGTGTCAATCATTTGACTATCCGCCTGTCTGCATATGCACTGCATTCTCAAATGACAGCTAACCCACTCTGGTTTTCGTGGTCAGATTAGTATGACCTGCTCCTGCCTGGTCAGCCGTGACATCAGCTGATTCCTGAAGCACTACAGTGTCTTCATCACTACATCAGCACTACCACAGACGTTACCATTACTACGCTGGTAGTAAGGATTTTAAGTGCACACATTTGACACTTCAACCCTCTTGTACTGGTTAGAAACTCAGACTATATTTAGCATTATGGACATTGTCTTTGAGTCTTTGTAGAGTTGTGAGCATTGGATTTTTAAATAGCAGTAGTTATAATATGTGGATATACACTTATTTTTTGTTATCTTGATAGCTATTTAGGAATAGTCAGTAGCGGACAATTTACGTCGGGCTGTAGAGACATACAGGATTTTGCAAGATTTTTACAAACCGTGATTCTTTTTTGTTCGGTCGAGTTACATCTCAGCCTTTTTATGTTTAGAAAATAAACCGTAAGATGTGATCAATGTCTACAATTGCGAACACTGAATTCACACAGAACCAGATGTAAACTAACACACCGCAAACAAGAGTGCCTCTGTCACGTGCTCCCTGGCAGACAACACACAAAGACACCTCAAAACAAAACAGAATTTAGCCTCTCAGATTATGCAACCGTTTACGCTGTCATTTTGTAAACCTTTGAGCTATAAATGTGAAGGGCCTGCTTTGTGCTGGGGAAGAGATTGCTTAGTGTAGAAATGACATACTCCACTCCCTCCATAACTCATTCACTCCATCTTGGTCAAAAGGTTTCTTGGGATTGCACTGTATCTAGGTGGGGAAAGAGAATTGTGTCAGAGGTGGAAGGACAGTGAGGTTACAGAAGGTATTGCAGACCTGGATGTAAGTGTGCAATCTAAAGCTGTATGGCAAATTGTTGCTCCACATTCACATGAAGTGCTTTCCTCATTATTTTCTCTCATATTGCCAGGCAGGTGTCTGATGCTTTCTCCTTCTGGGTGATTCAGACTTGGCCCCGGCATTCCTGAGATTGCATTCAAGCACAAAATCAAGATGGAAGACCTCTGGAAGGTCACGTTCCATGTGTTATCCGTGTGGTTAACCCTGGTGGTTGGGCTCATCATGCTCCCAGCAATGTTCGGAATCTCCTTGGGAATAACCGAAGTTTACATGAAGATTTTAATGAAGACGCTTGAAGTAAGTAAGACTTGGACCAGGATGAAAATGGATTTGACTATTTCCTGTGCACATCTCTAGCTTTGCACATTTTTAGTATAGTTAGTTCTGTGTGTGATTTAGTTCAGAACTAAGCTGTTTTTGGTATTCAGTTTAAACAAAGGAAGTTTGGCTTAAATGCAGTCTACACCTTCCACTCTTGCATACCAGTGTTACTGGTGTATTATTACATCAGCTGACAGGCGTTTTGTGGCCAACGTAAAGACTAACTGGCTATGATTTAAGTGGTGTTTTTTTCACACAAGCACATGCATCACATAGTAATACATTCTTAAGGTCTTCAAAAAATCCACTTTTTGTGTTGCAGTGGGCTACTCTGAGAATACAGAGGGGCAGAAATGAGAAACACTCAATCAAGGCTTCAGTATCTAATGGTAAGAACTTACTTATTAGATCTGAGTTCCCTTCGTCTACTATTAGACCACAGGAGGACTCCAGGGGTTCGTTCCTTCTTGTTTATAGGATTCCTGGAGCTCCCAAGTGATGTTTATCAGTTTCTTGTCTCCTAAAACTAAGGCATGCAGAAATATTGAGAATTACAAAACATCTAATCAAAAATAAAAACATAGCATAATGTTTTAAGTGTGTATGTGGTCTCTTCCTATGAAATGAATGAGTAAAATTGCATCTCTTGTGAAGATGGCCAAAGAACATCTGAATAGTTGTATGGTTTACACATTCTGTTTTTCTCTTTATTTTATTCTGGGGTATACTATTAAAGTCATCACTATATTGACTATGATATAATTTTCATTAATAAAAGCAAATAAATTATCATTTATCAGCGCTTTCATTTACACTGATGAATTTCCCAGTGAAACTCTGCCTGGTGACATGCACAGCTGTACAACACTTAAGTAGTGGTGTAGCTTTCTGATCATTTTGTGAGCATCTTTGTGCGTAGCTGTATATCCTTTTTTTAAGATACAGTTAAAAGACTTTGCAATCCATATTACAATATATTTTAGATATATTTAATATTGTCTGTCTAGTGAAATAAAATGCACCACACTTAAAATGTAGTAATGTACCATTATCTTGTAGTTTCATCACTTCATTTTCATTCACACCAGTCAATTGCTGTACTTCAAAACATAGAACCCATAGAATGTAATGTATTTAAACATTTAAAAACTACAGTAATATTTTATCTAAATGCCCGTCTCATGAATTACATGGAAAATACTCTGAATTGTTTATTTAAAAAACATAAATATTCTCGAAACTACATTCGCGTGTAGCTCTAGAGTTTTATCCTGCCTGAAATTGTGACAGGAGCAGTTTTGCATATTTTGTGCTTGCTGTGCTCATTTGAACAAATCCCGGTTCTTTAGTACAGTGAACTTAATGTAACAGGTGTTTGCTTTATTGCTAAAGTAAGTAGTAAGTAAGTACAGTAAGTACTGTAGCTTGTGTTAGCGTCCTTGTCCCCAGCCTGCCCCCTATCCCCAGCAATAGGGTCCTGACTAGCTGAAACACTTGAACTTTCTTTCTCTATCTTAAAAATGGGGAATGCACTGAAGATACTCACAGCCCTTACAGGTCTCTTAAATTTGTTCAGACTGCATTCAAGATGTCAAAATATAGAGTCAAGAAGGGGCTAAATTAAAAAGTAAAATATTTAATGGTGTAATAATAGTGCTGGTATTGGACTTTAATTGATGCTATTGCATTGTTTATAGTATGTCCTACTTATACACACATACACCCCAAAAGTTATATTATAATATATAATTGCAATTTACATATAGAACAGGACCAGTTTGACCTCCGTAATGCAACACCCTCTGTAGAACACAGCAGATTGGGTGTAGTGGTGAGAAACTATTTCACCAGTTGAGCTGAGGGCATGCCCAGAGTGTAGTTGTCACGGACGTCCATAGGGACTAACCGTGGGGAGCAGGAGAGCGGAAAAAGACCCATATGCGTAGCGGCGAGACGGGAAAAAGGCCCGGGCTCATTAGTGCAAAGAGTTCAGGAATGCCGTATAGAAACCTATGCCCTCAGGGAGCAGACGTGGGGCGCCCTGGTGCTAGGCGGGTCTCAGGACATCCGAACGTCAATGCTGAGCGAGGGCAGAGTGCAAGACCCGGAAATATATAGCCCAAGGGAAAGAGGTGAACCGGAAGGACAGCAGACCGGAAACTAGGGACAAGACAGAGAAGGAGCGCCCTCTGGCTGCAGAGGGCGTGACATGAGTGTAGTCAGGACACCAGAATTAACACCTTTACTATTAAAGTGTAAGAGTGTAAATCCTGTAAGTAAGGGATACTGTAATTACTGTAATGACCAAGTAGAGATATATTTAGTTTTCTAAATACTGATAACCTGTTCAATGTAAGGCCATGATAAAATAGAAGGCTTATGTATTGTATATGCAATGGTGCAGTCTCTGTGTGTCAAAACATTTATGCGCCAACTGATCTTACCCACTCGAACAAATCAAAATCTTTTGAAAACAGCATCTGAATATAAGATACAACATGAGCTGAAATCTTTATATTCTTCAACTCGTGGTAATGACAGAATAGAATGCAGTGATCATAACCCCAGCACACAGTTGGACAACATAAAAAAGTAGCCTTTGCATCCTTTAGCTAACTGGGAAAGGTTATATACAGTATACAGTACCTGTATATTTATTATATTTTAAATGGCATTAACTTGTATGGAACTGTGAAAGAGCATAAATTAACAGTATTTTTTCTAATGTGAATCTGTATTGTGTTGTTCATTTGTTTTTAGGAGTCACAGTATTCAGCACAAGTTTCAGTACCAAAGGTTTTATTGCAAGGGGTCAGGCTGATGGGCATGAGGCCTATCAGTATATTGAGACAATACTGAATTGCACAACTACAGTAAAAATAAACTCTTCCTTCTCTGTACTTTGGCCTTTAAGCAGTTAGATATATCTACCTGGGTTCAAGATTTTTTACACTTTGCATGAAATGATAAAGAAAAGCAGACAACTCTGGCTTTAATACCTTTTGATGACTTTTGTCAGTTAAATGTGATTTAAATTAATCGGGTACTGTACATTACTGGGTTTAAAGGAATGATTTTGACTAACAAACTAAAAAGAACTGAGTCTTTTTAGTCTTTAACAGAGAAGTTGGTGAGAGGACAGTATTAAATCAAAAGCATTGACAAAGTTGAGCAGAAAGGCCTCCTTCAGAATCAACATTGAAACACAAACTACAAGAGCAGATGCAAAGAATTGTGGGAGTTTGGAAGTATGGAACAAGATGCCCAACCATGTTATCAAACCAGATACCCTCTCGTCTTTTCAGAAATGGCTAGTAGAAATTAGTTACTAGCTCCCAACTACAGAAGACTGAAAGACCTACTCACATTTCTAATTGTTCTTACAGTATATTCATACACTTTGTAAAAAGCCAATGTGAAAACACTGAACATACTGTACAATGTTTGCACATAGGGATGAACAGCAAAATCAGTTGTTTCTCATGATGTACTTAAAAATTTGTGTAACTTATACCTAAGGAATACAGCATACAAAATGTGTAATATATCCAGCTTGTCTTGATGAAGGTTCACAAAACCCTTATGAAGATACACACTGCTGGAGTGTGGTAAGACATAGTGGCAAACAATCAGCAGGAATGGAGCAATCAGGCATTGCTCAGCTTGGAAATCTGTTGCAACCATTTCTTTTGCAACTTATTTTTAGAAATGTGCATACTGTATGTTTTCACCATTTTATGATTTTTGTGCTGTTTTTACCTGATCTACAACCTGATACTTAAACAAAAAAACAGATTGTTTTTTCAATATTTTTCTTGTATTTAGTTCAACTAAATACAAAGTTTCCCAGAAGTTCATAATTATTATTGTGCTTAATATATTTTGCTTTACAGTATGTACTTGTTATTTTAAAATTCACATTCTTAATTAGTCCTTTTTTCCATTCTCCCAGTTCAGTTTGTTTACTATATTTATAGAAGGGATTGATAATTACTGAAATGTTTATTTCTGAATTCAAATAAGTATTACTGAATATTGAAAATATACTATGAAAATATATCATCCCCTTTTAAAAAAACAAAACATGAAGCATAACAATGTAATCACTAAGCCCCCAGACTGACCTTGCTGTATCACAGTGCAGATTTTACCTCTGATAAAATTAAACGGATGACATTAACTTGGCTTCGATTAGGTAATAAAGTTGATTTTCTGATACCATTTTCCAGATATGCAAGACTGCTCATAACGTTTACTTGGGCATTTCAAGATATGCATATGCTCCAGCTGTTTCATATACCAATGTTTCAAAATAACTCATTGCTTTTTAAGGCATTCATCAATCTCATTATAGAGTACGGTCCCTACTGTCAAGTTCCATAATGTAGTTTACTGTAACTATATAGGCTTATATCTCCCACATACAGTATGTAGCTATTTTCAACTACTGAATTGTTTCCTTGAAGGAACTTCACACAGTTTAGTTTAGACCTAACAAATCAGTACAGTATATAGGAGTAAGACTGTTTTTTCAAATCCTTGTTTTCCCCACTGTAAAAAAATAACCTCTGGAACTTTTAAGTGATGCCATTATCATTTATCTGTGACAGTGCACTGTCTTGTTGCTCCTCGTATCTTTGATAATATAGCTGATCAGAGCAGTGCAGGGAAATTAAGCAAACGATCATCTACTTTAGGCTACAGCAGCCACATACTGTATGTCTCAAAAATGAGCTGATGTTGATTTTCTCTCCGAAAGGAATCATCCAAAGGGATGGAGACTCCTCCATGGAGAAGGAGATAGCAGAGCTGAGGGGAAGCCGTAGCAAGCCCCCGGCCAGTGGGGACTTCCAGATGAGCGACGTCTTCTACTTCAACAGGAAGGGCATCGAGTCCATCGTGGAAGACGAGGTCACCCAGCGCTTCACGTCCGAGGAGCTGGTCTCCTGGAACCTGCTCACTCGTACCAACAACAACTTCCAGTACATCAGCCTGCGCCTGACCATCATCTGGGTGGTGGGGGTCCTCATCCGCTACTGTGTGCTTTTACCTCTCAGGTCAGCAGGCTGGTTTTTGTTTGGAGTGCTGAAGAGAATTTCTTATTTTTTTTACCCCTTAAAGCTCGTTTAGCTGCAACCCAGCGAAACAGCGTTTCCTTATGCCTCATTTTCCTTATTAACCAATTTTGCCTGGGCACTTACATCCTACATCCTGCAGTGGGAATTCAAGGGGTTTGCTACTAGTCTATGCAAATGTCCTTTAAAATATTATAGCTGTGATCCTGGAATTACAATAGAAATGTTTATGTCCCGTAGTTAGTATAGTTACAAGTGTAACTGTGCAGTGAGAACATAATCCAGGGAAAACAAGTTTAAGCTCTTCTTATTTAAAATGTCTTTTTTCTTGAGTTTATTTCTTGGGAACTATGATTATTTACAATACAGTTTCAGGGTTACAAAGAGTATTTTAACGCAATATAACGCAGCTGTCCGTTGAAACATGATTTACAACACAGATCTGGGATTATTATGTGTGACTTCAGACCTTTCAGTAAGGGACGTGGACAGAAGTGCACTTATTAGTGCACCTAGTTCTTTCTGTTTGCCAAGACGTATTTCTGTACGTGTTCAGCGAGAGGCTTGCCTCCCTCACCTCAGTTTCCTGGTGAGGTGGCAGAAGGTGCCCTTTGTTTGCTTGTGCACACTGCAGAGTTTTCCTGTCATGCCCGCTCTCAAGTAAGGTGTTCTAAAACAGCAGCTTGCAGCAGTTACTGTATCTTCACATTAACATTCCTGATATAAAAACTTTTCCAATGCCTAAACCACTAGCAGGGAGAGATCATTTGAAGCACAGTTGGCTACGTTGTTTTTTTTCCTGATGTTCATTGTTGTCCTGCGTGTGTTCTTCTTGTCTGTAAATCAGTGTTGGCTGCATTCTTCATGCACCTGTCTACAATATATATACAATACAGTACAGCAATGTGTACAGTACATGCAATATACTGTATATTATCACATTTTTAAAAAACATGATTTTGTAATGTAAAAAGAGTGAATGGTACTGAATATAATACCAGGACACAGATATGGGAGTGATATGAATAATCTTTTTTATTGCTGGCACAGTTTATATTTTACCTTAAATGTTTCTGCCACTCATATACTTACATCTAATACATTTTAAGTATATTGTGCTTTATTAATGAAAAGTGAAATTCTTGTTATAAGGAATATCCCAAAGGTAATGAGTTCAGAAATCCAAAAAAAGGGACTTTTATATGTTATATTAGTTATTAATTAACAATTTTAATCTCAATAGGCCATTATTTCATGTCAAAGCATTAAGGAATTGTTGTATTTTGGTACTTATGCAGTAGATATGTAAGATTTTTTTTTTCTTTAGGGTTACTCTTGCTGTAATTGGAATAAGTTGGCTGGTTATAAGTACCTCCTTGGTTGGGCTGTTGCCAAACAGCAGGTAGGTTTATATGGTAGTTATCAAAACATTGTTATACATTAGAGATGCATTAAGTTATGTCTAATTTTGTTCTAATTTGTAAATAAGCCTGTCACACAATGCAGGTCATTCTGTTTCATTGTTCCAACAGTGACTATCTGTTTACATATATGATTGTTTGAACATCTGTTTTTGACACAGCTTTCTAAAGAGCAAGTTCTGTATCTTAAAATGAAGGCCAACTTGCATCTAGTGATATTATGATAGGGGTATGACTGTTGTCACCAATAAAACAGCTTACATTTAACAATAGTTAAATAATACAGTAGCTCTCATTAATGCAGGCACTTCTAGATGAAGAAACTTTGTAAAAGGTTAGAGAATAAGAAATGCTTCACAGTAATGCCTTGTGGGTATGGTGATGATAATGATGATGGTTAAGTAGACGAATATCATGCCTGAAATATACTATACAGTGTATGCTCAGTCTGCTGGAGACTACACATGCCTAAGTATTCTCTTTAGACTTGCCACTAGGGGCAGCTCATGGTTGTGATTTATGTATAGCATCTGACTACAGACTAGAACAAACTGGTATATTTCTTCAGTCAGACTCCGTAGATAACTTTTTGTATGCATATGTCATCACAAGAAGCTTTCTAAACCTGGTTTAAGACCCTCACATGTCTTTGTGTTCCCTTAGTGTGAAAAACTGGCTGAGTGAACTTGTTCATTTGATGTGCTACAGAATATGTGCTAGAGGTCTGTCTGCAACCATCAACTATCACAATAAGTGAGTACAGCCAAGTTGCCATTATGACACATTTTACACTATCCATTGACTAAAGACTGCATGGTAGAGAGAAATGTAGTTTCTTCTTAAAATTATGGCCATTTGTGAACATATGAAACTGTGGATAAAGCCAGTTAAAATTTAAAGACGATCAGACCGATGTTAGAGTTACTATCAGTACTGTTACTGCTACCAGTACTAATACAAATAATTAGGATGATTTTAGACTTCATACAGTGTTTCACTGATGGAGAATAAATATGACGTAACATTCTTCAAAATTAATTCATATTTACCAATCCTCAGTGAGATGTGAAATGCATTTAAAACAGAGATCTAACAAAAACATTTCTGCCTAGAATAAGGCAAAACCTTGACTCAATCTGCCAAATTGTAAATTCCGATTTTTTTGCTTGACAGCAGATTTCTTATTGCAAGGGGAGTCTTGGGCCGCCCCATTGGAAAGATATTGTCAAGCAAAAGGTTTGGAATTTGCAGCCGGTGGATGGATCAGATTTAATTTATTCTGCACCTAAGGCTAAGTAGTGTAATTTATCTCAAATTACTTTTACAGAAGCAATAGTGTAAAGAAGACATAATTGCATCCTTAAAACCTAGAAATTATTTCAGAATAAAGATATCAAATTTTGCCTCAGTGTGAATGGTGATATGTAGTCTGCTTAAAGGTTGCTTATCATTTGGCTATAGAGAAAACCGACCAAAAAAGGGAGGGATATGTGTGGCCAACCACACCTCACCGATAGACGTCGTCATTCTTGCCAATGATGGATGCTATGCTATGGTGAGTAAAAACAATTATCAAATATTATCAAACAAGCTTTTCCACATGTTGCTAATCCATCGTCTGTTCTAAAACAGGAATTTATACGTTGCTGTGAAGGAGACGATCCTGCACAGGTTTTGTTTGTTTTCCAGAGAGTTCAGAATACGTAAGAGCCAAAAGTCTTTGTATTAATCTCACACATGGACAGTGGACCCAAGCTTCCAATATGAAAAGTGTGTTGAATTCATTGTTTCGCCATGTGATGTAGAAATATTAAGAATGATACACTATATACTTGTAATTGGAACAATAAGTGTTGTTTTGCTGCCATGGCTTTTGTTTATGAACAAAACTCTTGGCTGTAACAGTTAGAACTTCACAGTTAATGTCCCACCGAAAATAAAGTTTATGTTCTTTTGAATGTAACCTCAGGTCTGTGCAAGTGATTACCAGCTTTCTTTGACCACAGTGTTAAGAGCTTTACATGTTGCTTTTCCTGTTTTTGAATTCCCTTTGGTGTGAATTTGTGAACACCTAATTCTGTCTTAAATGCTGACAAAATGATACACTACAAGCCCATGTTGTTTGGGAAATTTTACCAATTATCACAGAAAACAGTAAAATTTGATATAATAGTTAAAAGCAATTTATATGATTTTTAATAGTTATAAGCGGTTCAATCTTATTCCTTATTCCTCAATTGACTATTGATCTAGTTAACCTGACATTCAGTTCAAACCCTAAACAGTTACTACAAATAAAAGGTAGTGTTGGACAGCTTTGGCTAGAAATGATCCTTTATCAATCTATACAATAGTTTTATCTTAGAGTGGTGACAACACACACTTGATGGTTTGAAGCTAGCCACGTATTGTGTTGGCATAAATTATTTATATGAACCATTGATATCAGAATGTGGTATCTAGATTGGAGGTTTGCCTGGATTACAATGTATGTTTTGCGTCCAAAAAACATCACAGGGCTGTTTCAAGAAACAACTTGTTCTATGTTTTATGGGACAGAGTATACAGTATAACCCATTCGCAGTCTAATACAACTACAGTACATTAAACTTCTGGGAAACTGTTCAGAACAGTGAGCTACACTTCTCATGCTGAATCATTGTACTCACAAGTAAGACTCAGTGCAACTCTTGCTTCAGAGTAAGCTTGACGCAAAGTGCTTAATTTGCGCAACTCAAAGACCATGATTTTATAAGTGATAAATGTGTAATGGGAACTGACACTGTAACCTTTGAACATCTCCTCATGTTCTGAGGGCTGATATACTGTGTTCTTGTGCCTTGAAGGGTAGACTTACACAATTTTGTCACAACATCACAATAGGGATATGGAGAAGTCATAATGGGACTAAACTTATTCGTAATACAGGAGGAATCAGGATTCATGTTTAGACAAATGCTGAGCTAAGAAAATTTGACTACATTTACATAAACTTCTGAATTTGTAGAATCTATGGTTTTCCATGAATTCTAGCCTCCGTCTTATTCATATCGATGTTATCATGAATTTCCTGGTTCTTCACAAAGTAGTATCATTTAAGTTCCTTATTATGGAAAAGTCCAATCTTAGTGACCCATTCTAATTGTATATTGTATCAGCTCTACAGTAAATATTGAAGTTTACAGTATGTTGGCTAATTGCAATGGAATTGCAAGCAGTACCTTTTCACTCAGGATCATTTTTGATCATATTGGATGTGACTTTGCAGAGTAGCATGAGTCACTTCTGTGCATACTGAAATTGCTTTCTTATGCTGTCACCATGAAGAGAACATTCACCAAGGGAAGTAAATCTTCTAAGGATTAATTTTCTTGATCATTGAATGTTCCCCTTGTCCTTAGTTACGGTATGATGTAGTTTATATAAAGTCGTTAATCATTTTTCTATTGGTGGTGGAGACAATTCTGTGAAGACACTGCAAGATTCTTCTCATAGAGACTGAAAACAAATCCGCAACTTTGGATTTATTTACCAGGTGGGGCAGGTCCATGGTGGCCTGCTGGGAATTATTCAGAGGTCCATCGTGAAAGCCTGTCCGCATGTCTGGTTTGAGCGATCAGAAATGAAAGATCGCCACCTAGTGACAAAAAGGTGAGTGTTTCGCTAACTGCTACTCCTAGGCGCATTGTCAAATTTACTGCGCGTCTCTCTGTTTCAGCACATTCGGTCAGCTTTTTCATTATAACTGACATATTATCATTAGTGAGTCATTAGCTAAGAAATAAACTCAAATCTTTCTGCCTCTGCAAGTCTTGACTGCACTAAACACTAACCCTAATGCTAGCAGTTTCTGTTTCAAGTGACCAGTAATGCATTGATGGCATTGATACACAAGATACAATATTGTGATGTTTTCATATAAGATATATTCTTAATAAACAATTACAAAAAGTAACTATATGAATTGTTAATTCTTGAATTAATTACTTGTAGTATTTTAAATAAAACAAATTCATCTGTATGGATTATCAGCTTTTAAATAATGAAAAGCTCGTTTCATTTTAATTCTAAATCCTATTTTAAGTTGAGTATTTCTGGAGTTTATTATTATATTTTAACATTTTCCTTTACTGTTTAACTGTTGTTCCTCTAGGTGACTTTATTGTTATTTACTTTGGTGAAAAGAATCACCAGTGATCTGAGAACAGAAAATATTTTTTTTAACAATTTAAGTACAAGTTTCAGTTCATCTTTGTTACAAGACCAGTTAAATCATAAAAATTATCATGCCTAACTTTACTTATTGATATTTGTAAGCTTGATGATATTCAGGGAATAATCCTTTCATTTTCTTTAAGCCTTCCATATTTAGTATTGTGTGCAGTAATGTTACATCAATGCAGTACTGATGAGTATGTTAACAAACAGTTTTAAAGATAATGTTGTCTTGGATACAAGCAACGAAAGAGTTTGGTCTTATTTTGTTACAAGAACCTGGAATGCTGTATTTTATTCCAGTAACCCTCAACAGCAGGGAAAGTATTGTCATGTCCGTCCGATATGCATGAAGGCAAAGAGGAGTGTCAGTGGATTAACAGTGTTATTCTTGAGGAGAATAATTTTGAAATTTTTATAAACTGTTAAAGGAATGTGCAAGTACTGTTCTATTCGCAGATGATGAGAGGTTTAATGAGTGGAAACTCACAGCTGACTCAGAGGAAACTGTTCTTATAGAGATATCGAAAGTATCGCAATCTTGTGAGGTTTTTTGATAAATATTAAAAAGAAGTTGATTTTTCTTGTCAGTTAGGCATAGTTCAAAGGGGCTAAATGCTGGAGCTTAGATTGCTAAGGACCATTGTTCTTGAACTGGACAAGTATTAACACCAGGAATGACTTCCAAGGAAGACATTGGCCTTATTCCAATATCCACACTTGTGGCCTTCATATGCACGTTCCCGCAAGGTCCTGCAAGGGCTCAGAGTGTCTCATTTCTAATTTGTGTTTCACACGGGTGCTCACAAGCACCCCCAATGAGACCTTTACATGCCCTACTCGTCAGTCTGCATCTGACCAGACTTTGCTGAAAATCCCTTGCAGAATCGGTTCACGTTCTAACCTATCAAAGCAGAGTTAAGTTGCCATGGTGAATAAAATATTCAAGTGTATGTAAAATGTAAACGTTTTACAGTTTTAAAACCCATAATATTTTTGTAAAAACAATTTCATTACGCCACTTTAGATTCATATACTATACAGACATAAAGCTATTATTTTGTTAACTTACTACCTTATCAGTATAATAGCTGATGAATATTCATGTCTATGGTGTATTTTGTAATATGGTATTACAAAATATTAGTATATTAGTATGGTGTATGGGAACATGAAGTATTTAACAGTATAAAGCTTTGAATAAACAGATGTATTGCCAGTGAATCTTATTAGACTGTGAGCCATAACCAATGCGTGATGTCGTGAAATGGTGTCCAGATAACCTTTTTTATAACAGTGCAGCCTCAAATGTCTGTGCACCTGTAGTCCACACCTGCTCTAAGACACAAAAGTACAGTCCTGGAGGAAAGGCTTAGGGCTTAGTGTGACTTATGGGGCACAGCCATTCATCCTGTTTTGCAGATGAAAATGGAGGGACACAATCCAGTCGAGCAGTGCCCGTTGTATCACCCTGTGAATGTTTGTGACTTCCACAATTTTTCAAAAGTGGAAAAAGCACTTTACCACAGCTAATCTTACTCTTGCAACTTTGAGACAAATGTAACTTTTATGGTTCTCCTAGTAAACCACTCAAGAGTTTAACAAGTGTTTGAATTGAAAAGTGTTGCAATGGTAGGATCCTTAATCCTCCCAATTAAGCAAGTTTAAAATATGTTTTTTTAGATACTGTGTAGCAAAGCTTTTTCAGACATGAGACTTGTATTTGTGATTGAGATGATCTCAATGCTGAAGTTTGTAGTTCTGTCCGTGTTTATGTGGGCTTCTTGTGGGTGCTCCTGTTATTTCTCCCACAGTCCAAAGACATACTGGTAGGTTAAGTGGTTCCTGGGAAAACTGGTCCTGGTTTGAATGTGTGTGCATGTTTGTGTCTGTGTGTGCCCTGTGGTAGACTGTTGTCACATCCAGCGTGTTTCCCTCCTTGCACCTGTTGCTTGCTGGGATAGACTTTGGCTCCCCCATGACCCTGAATTAGGTGAAGCGGTTAGAAAATGGGTAGGTGGATTATATCAATGAATAACTAGATCGCCTTGTCCTGTTGTCCACGGGATACTGCTTTTGTAAAACAAAAAGGTGAATCTTTTGAAGAAAGTATTGATAATTTGACTGATACCCAATTTCACCATACCCAATTTTATGTCTGATTCAGAGCATGTTGATTGCAACATGAAAATAATTAATTACCTGTAATTACCTTGGAAATGCTTGGAAATGAACCTACAGAACATTGTGGAGAACAATAGATTATTACTGCCATGGGATTATTGATATCTCTTTGCATAATAATAGAAAACCTGTTTGGCAGAAGATACAAAGTGATGGACTCTGTACATGCATGTAAATGCAACTAATTAATTTTTTTTAAAGTTTGATCCGACTTTCTCTTCAACAGGTTGAGAGATCATGTTGCAGATAAGTCCAAGCTTCCAATATTGATCTTTCCAGAAGGTAAGAACAGCAGTGCATTTCTGGCTGTGTGTATGGAGAAGGTTTTTAATGTTTTACTCTTACTTTCCTTTTTTAACCGTACTTTGCCATAGGCACGTGCATAAACAACACGTCAGTCATGATGTTTAAGAAAGGAAGTTTTGAAATTGGAGGGACCATATACCCAGTTGCTATCAAGGTAACGCCTTTTGTTGAGAGTTTGCACCATGAGAGCTTTCTGAATGATCACCTGAGAAACAAACAGACACACAGAACCTAAAGTAGCTTAGGTGCATTGATTAAGGAGTGGGAAAAAAAATTAGAGGATGAGTCATACAAAAAAAGTGAACAAGCCAGAGTATCTTCAGTATGTTGTGCCTTTTTTACAAATTAGACATTTGTTTTTTTTTGTGGTTCTCATGCAAATCGATAGCCTCTCCTTCCATATTGTATCTCCAAAAATAAATATGGGGTGTGCTTGTCAATTGTTTAGAATTTTCTCCAATATAGCATTTTAATAGTAATTATTTCCTTAAAATGATTTTCTACATTGATGCTCTACATGTTTGATTTGTGTTTTTTGCTTTTCATATTATTTCTAACAAGAAACCTTTTGTCTGGGACAGCGTCTCCTGTAATCTATTTCCGTGTTCTGCAGTATGATCCTCAGTTTGGGGATGCTTTTTGGAACAGTGGAAAATACAGCATGGTGAGCTACCTGGTGAGAATGATGACCAGCTGGGCCATTGTCTGCAATGTGTGGTACCTGCCGCCAATGACCAGACAGGTGCTGATACCTTTCCCTGTGCCATTTAAAACTGCACATATCGCAGGCAGTAATTTACATGTATCTGAAATGCTTGACCAGAAAATTGTGGAGGTTCCAAATGTCAACCGTTATACATAACATTGTCTTGTGTTTCCGTATGGTTCAAACCCCCCACTTTTCAAAATTTGAAGTTTTATGTTCACTACATTCACTTTTAAGACTCCAGCTTGAATATGCAAAAGGGGAATTTCGTGATGCTGCCATCTGTCTCAACATCTGGAGAAATGCCCCCTATAGGTGCTTCCATCATATCAGGGTTTGGAGATGCATGTAGATCAGTGCTCGCTGGGAGTGAAAAGGTGATGGACAATGTTCTTTTGTTAAAATAACTCCCCAATTTTTTTATCTAGGATTTTTACCTTTTTTACTGGTCTTGATTTAAGAATAGTGCACTGTATGGCTTGATTAATTGTGTCAAAGTACTGCATTATATGTCTTTTTTTTTGTCTGAGTATTGTCTGTAGGATCTTTTATGCCTCTTTTATGCCCCTTATTTGTAAAAAAAACATCTACTAGAAATATTTTATTGTTTGAGTTCGACCTGTGAAAGGAGGAAAACTTTTAAGGAGGTTTCTGGAAATTGTTCAAGGGTGTCCCTGCCCAGACGGAGAAATCATTTACCACGCCCTGTACCTTTCCCTTTATTAGAGCTGACATCTTGAGTACTGATAGAGATGGCATTTCTCCAGCACCTACAAGTGGCACGCCCTGCACTGAATGCGAGTTAACTGTGTGGGAGTATGTTGGACTTGAAAAACACGAGTCTGAAAAGCTTGTCAAGCAGCACATAATGTAGAGGAAAATTAAGTACTGTATGTATATGTGTTGCTAAAAAATAGCAACACAAATTAACTGTTTTACGTGCTGTCCATACAGCTTCCTTGGAGAAAGTTGTTTTTTCTTGTAACAAGCTCTCATTTTGTTTCGTTTTTGAAACGGTTTCCTGAAACCAAACCCACTCTATGTTTCTTCCTCTCTTAACAGGAAGGGGAAGATGCAGTTCAGTTTGCCAACAGAGTGAAAGCAGTGATAGCCAGGCAAGGAGGCCTGGTAGATCTGTCTTGGTAAGAAATCTAGTATGAACATTTTGTCATGATAATCAATCACATTGAGTTTTGTGATCTGACGTGTTTTGTATTTTCCCAGCTTATTGTTGTTCCTAGTCTTTTATTTCCCACCTTTACTTTGTTTTACTTTTTTTCTTTTTCAACTAGACAAGGATTACCACACAGACAGTGTTAACAATAAATATGGGAGACATTCCCATTGATGAGTTCAACCTTTCCTTTTAAAGCATTATGTTTTGCTTTTCCACAGAAACGGACACTTGACATAAGCATTAAAAAAAATCCAAAATATCTGTTCTTTAAAGTATAAACCATGACGTACAGAAGTGCCATCCTAGTGTTTATTGAAATTAAGATTAAGAAGAAACCTTAAGATCTATGAACAGTTCACAGTGCCAGACAAGATGTACAGATGAGGTATTTCAGTTGGACTGGGGAAATATGATTCACATTCTAAAGGTCACAATATGAACCACAAATATGTGTTATCTTTTCAGTTCTTGTTATTTCTATCATATCCCCTTCCCCTTGAACATGTAGTACACAATCACATCTTTCAGATGATCATCCCTACACTTTTGTGACATTACTAGTTTATTTTGCAGTTTTCTCAGTTCGTCTTTCTAGTTGCTCTCAGAGTTGGACAAATGCTCAATTTAACAATTTGTACAGATAACTGAGTAAATTGACAGTCTTGGCATTTTGTATGGTAACCTAACTCAAAAATGTTTCAAGGGTCATTTCTTGTGATTTATCAGATGTGATTATCTTCTGTGTACAGCACTGCATGCCCTTTAAAGAAAGTCATTTACAGGAGATGTTTTCTCCTCCTCGTTTATTATTTCTTTAAGAATCCAAAGCTATCAGCAACTATACCACAGCAGATTCTGTTAAATACACTGCCAACTGTATCTCTTTAAATCACTCAAGTCCAAAAAGCTACTTTTTAGCAAGTGCTGCCACCTTGTGTTGGTGTTGTGGTGTTCTGTTGTGTTTGTTGATCTAGATTTTTTTGCTTGATTTTCAAGGTGTCAGACTCAATACCTTTAGAGCTTTACTTTATTGTTGTAATTATTTTATTAAATATTAACTGTTTATTAATAAACACTGAACATGTCTATTCAGACTTGAAAATAGCTTTATAACTAAATTGCCTTCAATCAAATTGTACTTTTCACATTTCAATGCAGACATTGAAAAAAATAAATAAATATCCAGATGAGACATGTATTAGATCCAATTAGGTTAATTGGCAATTCTAGTTAAAGCAAAAACTGGAAGATCTCATAGCCATTGAAAAACTGAAATTGAAGCCCTTTTTCTACCATAGGTTACTTCTAAAAGAAAACCATTTTAAGTGTAAGACAATTTCTGTTTAATGATAGAAAACATAGCAATATGCTCATTCAGTACAGAACACAGTACAGGCTTCTAAAAGGACAATACTTAAATTAATCCATCTCCCTATCGTGCCCTAACCCAAGGTTTTCACACATTTACATCTATGGCATTAATATTAATCTTTGGGCTTGCCTAATGCACACTGTAACAACCTCGGGGTTTGGCATGGAAAGAAGCAGGCGTAGGGCTCATGAAAAGGGGTTAAGCAACACATTTATTAACCAGAACCGGGGAAAGCTGCGCACACATCGGGATAGGGATTACAGCGCTGCACCTACAGTAATACAGACACAGAAGAAAGAGTCCCCCGCCCCCTATATACAGTCCGGTTCCCCCAAGTCCCGCCCCGCAGGCGCTGTTCACACCCCGCTATGTGTGCGCATTGCTAAAGGGGACAGAGTAGCCATTAAAGCGCCCAACGTGGGCGCTACAGTACTTTGACAAGAACTCTCTATTACTTAAATACACTTTGGGAAATGGGAAATGTCTGTTTTTGCTTGTTTCTCTAATGGATTGTTACCAATGGACTTCCTTGGAGTGCTATTCCTAGATTATACACTACCTTGCTTTTCAATTCCATGGAGCTTTCTGCTATAGTTCTACATGTATCATATTTGTATGTGATCCTAATTGTTCACTGTACAAGACGTTTTCCAGGAGTCTGTACTTTTAAAAATTTAGATGACAGAAAACATGTAGGAGAGTATTGCTCTGAATTATACTTTCCAAAATAGTCTTCCTCCTCTTCAAGATTCAGTTGGAACCCAGTCTTATCCAATTATCGTCACACTAAGCAAACATTTAATTAAAAGGTTTTAAACCACTGGTAAATTGCACATCTGATACAGAGCGTTCTCCAAAGAGAATCCCTGGGCCTGATGAGCAAGCAGAAAGTCACTGGGAGCCAGGCCAGATGAAAACTGTGTGTGAGTGAAGGTATTGACAAGCTCTAGATGACTCATGTTCTCTTTATGGGTGAAGTTAGTCATATTTCTGCCCAAAAATGGCAAAGACAAAAATTCAGGCAGCACCAAAACAGTGACACCCACTTTGCAGTTGACAGATTGTGGAAAGAAATACGGATTGGGTATGAAATTGGAATCTGCAGAAACCTGCTGCACGACAAAGATACGCAAGTAGAGACCTTCATCACAAAAATGGTTGGACCTTCTTACTTAATAGTGGGCAGAACATGAAAACATTCAAATGAATGAAGTACTGTGAAAGACTGTCAGCTGTTGTTAAGTCAAGTTAGACCTCTACTCTGCTTAATACCAGCAACTAAATATACAAACACATAATTTATTCATTTACAGAATAGAGAGCATGTGAAGATCTTGTGTTGCTGAGGTGCTTTTTAACATTCTTGTGTGCTTTCGCAGGGATGGTGGCTTGAAAAGGGCAAAGGTTAAGGAGACGTTCAAGGAACAGCAGCAGAAAATGTACAGCAACATGATTGTTGGAGAAGACAGCAGCTGAACTAAATATGATCTCTTCAAGTCTCATTGTGCACAAGTATATCCACATTTCAAATTCTTTACAACCTGTTAGAGTAATAAAACTATTATGAATTTAAGTGCCTCAAAAGTGAAAAAGAATATGTTGTTATAGTAAACAAATGGTTGTAGTATAAGCATGATGATGTACAGAAACAAGAACACTGAATATATACGATTTGAAAAATATGAAATAGCTCAGAAATTTTTAACTGGTCTCTGAGACTGTTTCCACTGTGTTGTATAGGAAATGAATTGAATAAAAGCATTTCACACTAACATTTTGTGTACCATATACAGTACCACATAAAAAGTATTTTTTTACCAATGTATTTTATATTGTACCTGAGGCAATATTACAGTTCTGTGCAATGTCTCTTTACACTTCCTTTGTCTGTTCCTTGTGTTTTGTGCCAGGTATTCTGTGGAGATGAACTAACAGCACAGCTTATGTTAACAAATGGATCAGACTACGTGCTAACCACAAGCTGAACACTTTACTAATTTATAGACAACTATTGTTACTGTATACCTGAAAAATAGAGGCAGGGAATCTAAAGTTATTTGCTTTTAGAAAGACCTTTCTGTTTCTTAGGATTCCAAAGTCATCGGGTTAACATTTTGTATTTTAAATCCTTTAATCATCCAGGATCCTCTTGGTAAAAGTATTGTTACTACATACACTAGATATCATTTAAGTCTCCCTTTGAAAAGGCTTTCTGTCTGAGCCTCTTAAATTACTTACATGACAATGGAAATCAAATCAGGCATTTCTGAATGGCACAATGGAAAATTAGAATTGTTACATTAAAAGGTTACATATAATCCATAATTCAATATTTTTGGTATCCTCTGTCAGAATGCAATTCCATAAAAAGGAAGACAAAACTAAGCCACGTAACTACAAATGAATATGTTTATGTCTAGTGTATGTAATGGAGACATGAATTAAACTATAAGACTGTGAAGGCTTATTCATGTACTGCATTTCAGATTTTAGCTGTACAAAATATTAAGACACCATTATTTAATGTCCTGTCTCAGTTGCTGAGCTAAGGCCACAGATACCTTTTTACTCAAACTCTTGCCACACTAAGCTTTGTGTGTCCACATGCAGAGATGCTCTTTTATTACTGGGTGCTCTGTAGGATATGTGCAGCCTGAGCTGTTGAGTTAGCACATAATTTGTTTAGGCTATGATACGTATTTACTGCCATTGCCTCTCCTCTGGGTCTAAAACACTGCTAAAAATTAGCTGCTACAGTATGGTCAAGAGTCCAGTCTGAACTGCAGAGATCTGGTCACCACTGGTCAGAGCTGGCAGTAATGAAGCTGAGCCTCCAGAGGGCACTCTTCTCCCTAGGCATCTAAAGCCACACTAATATTGCAGTAACATTTCATGATACTGTGACAGTTTAAGAAGACATAAAAACGTTTTCTTAATATATTTCTCATGTAAGATATAGGTAGGATAATGGCAAGCAACATGTCATTGTAACATAGGATTATTGGTAACCAAAACATTTATTCGGGTTACAGATTTTTCTGGGGATTTATCTCTCTTTAAAATACAATACCTCTCTCGTAATGTACAGTGATGCATATTTTTAATGAAAAAACAGGACCATACCACAACTTTAATTTTAATACAATCTCATAATGGGTTATGTAGGTCTAATTTTATTTGAAGTGTCAAAGGTGAGTCTAGCACAGGTACTATACTAGATGTTTTCTTTGGCTGTTGGGCATGTGAACGCTTTATTTTTGTGCGGCTGCTATTTAGTGGATCTCATGTGCCGTTTAAAAGTATTTGTGGACAGGGACTTGGGAATCCTTTGCTGGTATTGTGTGTGCTACTGTACAATAGCATAACAGCATATTAAGCCCATTTCAACTCTGAACATATGCCTAGCATGAAAATGGAAACTGCAGGCTTAATCTGTCTTCAAAATCTGCGTTAAGATTTATGTAGTGTAAGGGGTAGTCAAGACATTAAAAGGCATAATTAGAGATCAGTATTTGCTAAGATGACAAGCCAAAAGTATTTGCATTAAATGCAATGCAAAATTAAATGCAAATGCATAAAATTTTGCAATTTTGCAAAATGCAAGAAATAATGCAGAGAATTTTCTTTCTTTAAAGTTGTGAATTTGTCATTTGGATGTTGCCCAATATTTTCTGGTCTGTAATTGAAGAGGTTATCCTTCATTTGTTGTTTGTTTTTTGCCATTCAGTGACAGAACCTCTTGTTTAATGAGAACAAAGAAAACACTCAAAACTACTGTACATACTGTAGAACTGAATTCCTCATTCATTCTAATGAAATATACTGGTGACTGATGGGAAAAATAAATAAACTCTACATTACTTATATCAGTTTGCAGAAAACAGCTCTAAAATATGTTTTACATTTTTGTATATGTATTAAAGAAATTAATAATAGATAATCGACTTTGATTTTAGTTTCATGGTTCCTACGTAAGTATAGATCCTACTTCAGGTTAGTGGTTGGGAATAGTATGATGAAGGCTTCTTTGGATCCTTGTAATAGTTTGGTTTGAGAAAGGTTTGGCAAATAGATTTTATTTTAAAAAAGACCTTGTCATAGTGATAGTGGTGGGCTGTTAGTAAAAATGTAAACATTTCAAAAGATAAGTTCTATTTTGCTAGAAGGAGTGGAAGATGGGAAATCCTGCAGAACTCTGCGCCAGCAGTACAAATGTGAAGAGGAAGTTTAAATTTCCCAGTTTTCCCCCACTTTGATTCGAGAACATTCGGGCCAGCAAATCACCCAGATTTAATAACAATTCAGCAACTTAAATTGCTTGAACAGAAATGTTTGTTCTCCCCTAACAGGATTGTGAATTATTAATCGGATCTGGAGCGGATTGTTGAGGTGGGATTCTTCCAGCACCACACTCCAGCACACTATTTACTGTGATGTATGTGTCTGCACATCTTTATATCCAATTTAATGCGATTCGGATAGATTTCAAAGGGACATCATAAAAAAAGCATGGCAGTGACCCTACCCAGTCCAGATACAGACACCAAGCAATTGTTCCACATCTCAGTGTTTCTTTATTAGATTTTCTTTATTTCTGTATTTACCGAATCTGATCTATACAAATGAAATCCAGGTACACTTAGTAAATATGAATAAATTGCTAAATTAAATCATTTTTCCCAGAGAATCTAGTTCAAGTAAGACATCATTTTAAATCACTGTTGTCTCAAACTAGAGTGCTTGCCCACTGCAGGCTAAATGACTGTCCCTCGCTCTTAGACCAACCATTAGTTGAAACTCAGTGTTTTTAAATACATTCTTCCTAATCCATTCCTCAGTTCAAATGGAACTTTTATACAAATGCATGAGATCTTATAGCCCTCCTCAAAAACGCATCAGAAAAATAAAAATCCTCTTAATTCCTTATGTAGTGTTGTCAATGAAAGTAATAAATCAGAAGGGTTTATCAGCCCCTGATAAACTGAGCTCCATCCCTGATTCCAGTGAATATACAGTAAGATGTATGAATTATTGTACACACTGTAAGAAAGTAAGGATTTTATATTTTGTCTAATATACAATAATAATGAATGATAGCTGTAATGTCTCAGAGGCACCCAAAACATTATTTGTAATCACCTCTATGACAAGGAGTCATTTGCCATAGTACCATAAGCAGCATGGCACCATTTTATTATGGAGGTCAAGGTTAGCATTAAAACTCATGTTCTCAAAAACCATATTCTTCTCATGGAAGTTGCAAGTATCTTATCGAAGACATCCATGACATTAATGATATTTAAAGATCATAGGTGCACCAACAGAATTAAAAGTTCAGAATTAAAAAAATTCCAGGACGTTCACATTTATATTTTACTTAGTCGTTTTTCATCATGGGGAGTGGAGTGGCTATTGACTAGCAAGTCCAGTGAAGTCCAAAGAAAATTAAAGTCAAGAAGAGCTTATTACTGAGGAATAACTAATTGTTGAGACAACTGACTTTATAATTAAGAAATGACAGTTTTTTATATTTAATGATAGGTGATTGTTTAATGAAGTTTTATGTTAGGTAATTAGACCTATTTAAATCTGTTGTCAAATATTTTAATGATGAATCTTAAATGTTTGAAAATATTTTTAAAATATTATTGATGGACAAAAAGCTAAATTTGATGTAAATATTTCAGCTGTTTCAACAATTTTGTTTGGTGTTTTGTAGATGAGAGTGTGTTGGTGCTCACCCTCATATCAACCCACAGTGCAGGCAGCCTGTTTCTATCTATCGACTAATTACCTCCCTCAGTGTCAGACAAGGCAATATAAGAGACTGGGACAGTGTGCGTCTCACTTGCGCATGTATATTGACTTCCATTAAAAACAGGAAGACTATCAAATGTGAATATTAGAATACTAACATTAATATTTTATCAAAATATTAAAATTCCAACATGCTAAAATGTACTCAAGGCATTATCAGGAGATACATTTTTTTTGTGTTGTGTACCTTGTTTTGTCCTTTCAAATCCATTTTGTTTTTCATTTTGGGCTTTTCTAATAAAAAGTAAAGCATGGAAGTTAAGCAGATTGGATAAGCAATAAATAAATAACTGAAATGTACAGTATGATAGCCAGCTTTGTCACATTACACTGTGGTGTGAATATTTTGCCTTTCACTTTGCACTGCAACATGCCTTTGTCCACACTAGCTCTCCATTGGTTGATGTGCTTAACCTGTCAACAGGGGGCAGTATAGCTGCCACCCTCCTTTCAGACAAAGTCATAAAAACAAGATGAATTCGGAGAGGTAGCAACAAACCTGCATGCATAACAAAAGTGTATTCAAACTGGTCTCTTGCCATTTTCAGAACTTCCTTGTTCAACAGTTTTTAAACATTGTGCTAACAACTATTACATTCAATGACTACTGCAGTAAACAAAAGGAAAGTCCCTGATGCGATTTTTTTTCTTTGATTTATTTTTATAGGATGAATTCAGTTAACAGCTGGAACGTTTTTCTTTCATTTATTGTGATTATTTTTCGGACATTTTACTTTGTGTATGTTTCCTGCAGGCCTCCAGCATTAAGATCAGCACCTAAAAGTGATTAGCTGAGTCTTGTCAGCAATAATATCAAATCTTGTGTTCTGCATTTTGAAGTGTATAACTCTGTGTACTCCATAATTCAAAGAATATTATTAATGCTTGTAACAAAATATTCTCTAAATTATTTACAGTAATCCTTTTAGAGAATCTGAAATGCTATACAGAATACTGTACTACTTGTGTTATACTGTACATCTTCCTGTTCGACAGGAAGGCCACTTGTTTTTAATTTCACTCTGGATTAGCTAATCAAGATATCATGAAATCAATCCGGATTTTACAGCAGTAGTACGATTAATATACACAAATTTCCTTCAAGAACATAAATGCAGCTAAGTAATTCTGCAGCATTTCTCTTTTTAAAATTACCAAATGACCTTCATTTAGGTGCTGTGGTAACTAGGGGGTTATTACAATCTCATTCTGTGCTCTTCTTTCACTAATGAATTATCAATGACAAAGTAGCAAGAGCAGACAGTGAGTAGTACTGGGGGGGTGGCTATGATAAGTGGGCTCTGTGGTGGCTCAAGTTCATGGTGAATGACAGGCAGCTTGTGATGTTCCCTGCTACTGAGGAGCTGCTCAACTGACTTTCACAGTCCAAAGCTTTTTCAGTTCTTTTGCTGACACCCCGTTTACTTATTTCCCTCAAATAGAAGTTAGCAGTCATTTCAGTTATACTCATGGTTCATTTAGCAATGAGCTCACTTAAATAGGTAATTATTTTAGTTCATCAATAATAGCTGTTTCTTATAGCTTGTAGGCTTGGACATATGCTTGAAGCTTGTAGTGCATTATTATATGAGTCTTCTACGTGGCCTTAAGCTTTTGTACACTCTAGAAAGTATTGAAATACAA